TAATCACTGGCTTTATCAAACTACCAAATGTTTCTTTTTGTGTGTTCTGCATGAGTCATGTGATAATAATGCTGTTTCCTCCGCTGAACACTGACGGCCCTTTGTGTGTGAATTTACATACTTGAAATAACAGTCTTCTGGAACCTGTGAATGGGAGAGATGAACGCTTGTGTGTCATTGACAGATTGTGGAGGACAGGAGGGCAACTTCTTCTACTGGATGAATACCATTAAAGGTGCACTATGTGAATTTGCTGATGGAGAGTCTCCCACCTGCTTGTCTCCATGGAGATGTTATTGTTTTGTCTAGAATGTTCTGCAGTAGAGCATTAAACATATCTATATTTTGATTACATTGGACTTGAGTGATCGCTGAAGTTTGTGATGTATGTGTGGAGAGAAGGGTGGGGCGTGGGAGGTTTTTGTTTTAGTCTTTTTTTCTGTTCTTTGTTTTATTAGATATTAAAATTAATACAAAAAATCTCTCTTGCATTCATACTAGTGTTCATAAAATACCCTTGAAATCATGTATTCTGTGTGTGTGCAAGGGTCCCCTCACCACAGATCTGACCTGTGACTTGACCTGGTGATGTCATTTACTTTTCTCCATGGAAATTGATAAGTTTTTGAGGCAAAACAACAACTTCTCCATAGAGTCAAGAAGGTGACAGACTCTCCAGCTGTTCTGTGAATGTTCTCTTTGGTCTTTTGGTCTGTTCGTTTGTACTATGTATATAATTTGGTATTTTAGATAAAATCCCTTTTGAGCAATTTTGAAATTCCCAGGAAAGATCATAATTATAGCCATTTGGGATGTGGACAAATTACATTAACGTAATACTCATAAAAGAACAAGTTTTTGCAAGTTGTAGGTTTCTCAATAGCAAGTTTAGCAATACTTCTTTATATTTGTTGCCATAGTAAGTAGCCTACTGTTAATACAATTACTTGACCCTTGACCTATTGTACAACGTGGTGAACACAAAACATCCTGACATGCTTCTAATTTGGTTTCTTCTTGTGAATTTTATGGTTGCTTTTTGTGTTCCCAGGTTAGAGTCAACAGGATTGCAGTGGCAGATCTCCCAGTGTTGACCCAATGACCTCACTAATGAAACAGAGGCTTTATGGTTAATGGTCACTGGTCACCATTCGATTAGGGCAGCCAGATTTTCTAAATTTCATTTCATTCTGGTACTGTCCCGGGTAAATAAGGATGTCTGGTCTCCCTAAATTGGACCCCTCTCTTTTAAAGTGCATCAGTCAATCTGAGACACTTGGGCCAAACGGAAAATTGTGTTATTTTTGTGAAGCTCTCCTTCTTGACACACTTCAAGAATAGCTGGCATGGCCCATTTTAAAGTGCATGTCTTCAGAGTTGACTTCAGTTGTATGTTGTATAAGCATATGGATGTAACGTTATCTAAAATATAATGGTACAATATTACAATGTATATTTCACTGGACGATACTTTGGGGAGGCTAACAGAAGTGTACATATGCTCCTTTTTCCATTTAAAATGCCTTGACATGCCTTTGGTGCTGTTGTCAAGTTATAAAATCAGCGTTGGTCGAGGGCCGCATATTATATAACTTATTATATATGACCACCAAACTATCACGCAGCCTCACATAGAGTAAACATGAATGCAATGTATAGGCTGATACATTTTATAAGGGCCGCATCATATGAGATAAAGATATTTGAAAACTGTTTGTTGAACTATATCATAGCAATATTTAGATTTTTGACACAATAAGTTAAGCAAAATTAAAACTTAGACCAAGACCAAAGTGGATTAAAGGAGTACACAATAAGGAAATTGTGGATAAAATCTGCCATTTTTGCAGTTACTTTCAAAAAACTCATTTCTTTTCATATGGAGAACTTTGTATTGTATTTTTATTTTTGTCATTATTATTTGCAATTTTTATTATTTGCCTACCTCTCTCTCTCTCTCTCTCTCTCTCTCTCTCTCTCTCTCTCTCTCTCTCTCTCTCTCTCTCTCTCTCTCTCTCTCTCTCTCTCTCTCTCTCTCTCTCTCTCTCTCTCTCTCTCTTTCTCATTACATTTGATTCCAACAGGCAATAAATCATAGTTAAGGGGGGAAAAACAAACCTTCACATTGCCATTTTAATCTTTTGCCTTCTTTTATCATGTATTGTAATATTTTTTGTAGATTCACTTTACACATTTCTGCATAAATAACAAGCCACTGCAGTATGCTATGTGGCTGGCATGTGAATTAAACAATGTGGGGGAAAAAAAAACAATAAAACATGAATGAGTACTAAATAAAGGCTAAAGCACACATGTAAAATATTTTTTTTGTAATTTTTATTTAATAATGCGTGTAAAGGGGAATAGAGGAGGTGGAGGTTGGATGTGCTTTAGTGCTGTTGATGCCTGGGCCGCCTCCTCTGCTCCTCCACTATGGCTGCTGTAAGGCAGCTGGATCGCTGTGACCTTTGACTTTCACAATGAAACTTCAGGCTATGCAGCTCCTCTCGTGCTGAGAAGAGTTCAGAAGATGGCTCGTGCACCTTCCTGGACAGTTTCTCATTTTCATTATTTGTTAGATTTCCACCAACATCATTACAAGTAGTTTGAGTCTCCATTGTAGGTTCCTTAAGGTTTTCTTTCAACTTCTCACAGGCTTTCCTGGTGTTGACCAGCTCTTGTTTGAGTTGGACATTGTCTTTCACACTATTGTTATACAAATATCTTATCTGTAAATTTGGTTTTTCAGCTCTTTCTTTTTTTCAGGAGTTTAGCTCTGAGCTCTTTCAACTCCAAGTCTTGCAACTTTTTTGGATTTGTTGTATCGTGTTATTTTAGTTGCACATTTTCTTGTACTTGCACCATCAGCCTTTGAGTAGATATTAAGTACTGTACATGCTATACAAAAACAAATTCTCTATCCATCTACTGTAGTCTTAGCTCATGAGGCTACTCCTTTGGTCTGACAGTCACACCTGCCTGTTTCTGAAGTTTCCCACAGTCCACGTGTTCAGTGTCAGTTTACTGGTTGGAGTAAGTTTGAAAGTCCATGTATAAGCGCTGTCTGTCCCTCTCACTCTGTCTGCACCTGTCACTCTGTCCTACTGTTTGTTTTTTGCCACTGCTGCCCTGGCAGCAGGGAACGAGCCGAATTGGCACTACAGGCAGCAATACATTACTGTAGCTCAGTTTCTTATGCATTTATGCATTTATTTGGTGGGCCACTATCAATAGAAATTAGAAATTATCTTGTGGGCCAGTAGAAATCATCTCAGGGGGCTTCATTTGGCCCGCGGGTCACAAGTTTGAGACCCTGGTTTAAAATATGTTTAATAACAGTTATTTCTAAATGTTGACTGCACTGAAACAGAGCAAAGGATTATGGTCTATATAGTTCACACTGCTTTTTTACCCGCTGTGACAAAGAAAGCAAATGAGCTGGTGAATCTATATACTGTATCAGCCCACGATATGATTCTAAGACATCTGATCATAATTGTTACATCCCTAATGCACAGTAACTTCACTGTGACTTCTTAAGGATCAAAGCAAAATTGGATACTTCATCAATGGGAAACTTTAGTAGTTACTCACTGGATGGCTCTTGGGGGAATCATTTTGCATGCTATCTGACAAACTGAACCAGATGTACAGAGGAGCTTTGATATTTTTTCCTCTGACTTTATTATAAGATGAAAGTGATGTCTCGTAAACAGGGCCTTTATAAATGTGTGCACCTACTGTACACTGTCCCTGTGTTTTACGTCTGTTTAAAGGACTCTGTAAGCCTTGACCGCTGGCATAAACATGATTAAATTACCGTCTCTGCAGTATACATGTGTTCATAAAATGCTTCTAATAAAGAGACCTGACCCATCTGAGCGCCCACACAGAAATGTCATGCTCTGTTTTGCCCAGAATTTAATCTCGCAGGCAGATAAAACCAGATACTAGATACCCTAGGCCTGTCATGATGACTTCTATATTGATTTGGTGTTCAGTATGGAACTAAAACCATTTTTGAGGATCAATGTTTATCATGTGTACATTTGTTTGCAATGATAATAGCTGAACTGTAGAAAGAAAGAGAAATCGTAACTTCGTAACTAAAGTGTTTCATTATTCTTCTTCTATTGAAAAGCTATATTATTAAATTAAATTATCCTGCTTAGGGTTATTTTGTCAAGTAGTTTCAGTATCATTTATTGTGATATTTTTGTAACAATAATGCATGCTCATAACCGGCCTATAGATATAGCTCAACAAAAGATGAGGAAAGATGAGCAAAATTTGCATTCACATTTTAGTACTTGTTGATGTCATAATTTCAGAATGGGCCTATAACTCTCTGGGAAAGTGTTTTGGAAGAAATATCCAAACGTACGATCCATAATTTACTTCATAAACTTGCTTACAGTTTAATGTAGTTCTTTCAGCTGACAACAATAATGTCTTTGGGGTTGAATAATGGCACCATTATCATTTTGTTTTGTTTTTTGTTTATTTATTGCCAAGAAGATTTGCCAATTTTTGTTTCATGTGGATAGGCTCAGCAATTACAGATATATGAACTGTCAGGTGATGCCATGTGAATGTATTGAATTAGTGATCAAATTCATTTAAAGGTGCACTATGTAACTTCTGGTTTCTATGGAGATGTTATTGCTCTGGAATGTTCTACAGTATGATATAGAACAGCTCTAATTTATATTTTTTTCAATTACAGGTGGTTTTATAGCTTAAAAATACCCAGAAAAACATGCATATTGACTGAGAGTGGGGTTGCCTCTCCACAGATTTGACTTGGCCTGGTTTGGGATCCATGAAGATAGAAAGGTAGAAGTAATACCATACTGTGATATTTTCGAGGCAAAGCATTGACATCTCCACAGAGAAATGCATTTGATGGACCGACAGAAAAGTTACACAATGCACCTTTACATTTATATGACATGCTGTCTTGATAATTTTGTGATGATTCTGATATTTCTGTTTTTCAGTGACTTCCTTACCTCAGACTGGCCCGCTTCACGTTGATGCTAGTCCCTCCTCTTCATCCCTCTTCTTCCCTGTCACCATGGCAATGAGCGGAGAGCCTGTGTGCGCGAGGCCCTCTGCTGATGTGGAGGAGCAGAGCAGCAGCCTGGCAGACAACCTCTCTGCCATGACCACCAAGGACACGAGCAACGGTAACAATAACGGGGTGAAGAACGGAGGAGGCATCCAGGGCAAGAGGACCCAGCAAACTCGACCTCACCTCACCGGGCGGAAGCTGTCCCTGCAGGAGAGGGGCACGTACCACCCCCCTCACACCTCCCCCCGAGTGGCCCGCAGACCCACGGTGGAGTCCAAGAGAGTGTCCATCTCAGACGCACAGGTCAGAAAGTGATTCACAGTTTTGTTAGCTTCCAAAAAATATTGCAATAAATATCGTGCTGTGAGATGTATATCGTGAAAATATCATACCAAGAGATTTGGATATTGTTACATCCCTAATCATGAGCCTTCCTACCATATTGTGAGCTTTATAAGATTTTATAAATATCGTACCGTGAGGTTCATACCGTGACAATATCGTATTGTGAGACATGAATATCGTTACAACATTTTTCTTACATTTTTAACAATACTTTTTTTATGAATAGATTCCTTGTGCATGTAAGATCCAGTGTTTTAACAATGCCAGTGACAGAACATTATGAATAATTTATTTAACTAGGGCAGCACAATATTCTCCAATGATAACAATGTTCTCCATCTGTTCATTTACTGTTCTGGAAAGAGCAAAGTAAAAACAAATTAGATTTTAATTTCCCTCATTAAGTCTTTAGTATTTCAGTCACTAATAAGTTTGTTTTGATACATTGATTAATTAAGGTTAGTAATTTAGTTTTTTAGTCTTTAAAGGAATACTGTGTAACATTTCTAATGGTGGGTCTGCCAACTGCTTGTGTCCATGGAGATGTTATTGCTTTTGTTCCATGGTATGGTATGTATGACTTGCATTTATTCATTACAGTGTTTCTATTCCTCAAAAATACAATAATTCCTTTTGTGAATAGGACTGACTCTCCACAGATCTAAACTGTAATGTAGTGCTGTAACCTGCTTGTCTTCCTTGTGATAGGTTGAATCCATACTGTGGAACATTCTAGACAAACCAATGACATTTCCACGGGGACAAGCAGGTGGCAGACCCTCCACTAGAAATGTTACGCAGTGCACACTTTAACTAGTCATTTGATAGTAATATTTGAGTAATGTATATATATTTTTCTGTTGAACTAAACTTGTGTGTTTCAAAAAGTATATACAGTGTTTCCCGCAATGCTTTATGTTAGGGAGGCCGCTCCTTGGCTACATCCCTCTGAACCACCTGAATCCTCGCAAAACTACGGCCGTCGTGCCATGGTTCTCACTTTTGTTGACACGGTATCTATTAGGGGTGTAGGGGGATCCAAGTCTCACGATACGATATCGTCACCATATGAGCCTCACGGTATGATATTTATTGCAATATCGTGAGAAAGCTCACAATATGGTGGGGAGGCTCACGATTAGGGATATAACAATATCCAAATCTCTCTGTATGATATTTTCACGATATACATATCACGGTACACTATTTATTGCGATATTTGTGGAGGCAAAAACAAAACTGTTAATATACAACTCTTTCCTCTTAAAATGCCTTGACAAGATTTAATCAAGAACTAAGACTTGAAAGTGCTTAGAACTGTTATGGAGCAACGGATCATGGTCTACGTAGTTCCCTTTGTCTTTTTAGCTATTGCTGCACCATAACTCTTAATTTAAGCAAAGACACTTGTAATTCAATATATTGTCCACAATATTATTGTTACAACTTTGAAGATACAATATCACGATATTTCAGTTATTGTTACACCCCTAGTATCTATGTCACCCTGGTCACCACCTTGACTAACCAATTTTCAACGGGAACAACTATATAGGTATAAAATATTACAATAATACCATTACTGCAATGCAAAACATAGTTATCAAATACTTGCACCTTTTTTCATATCATGCACCCCTATATTTAATCATAAAAGAATAGTGTGGCTTAATAGAAGATCTAAATTTGAGCACTGCCAAATGAATGTAATATCCTAGAAGAGGACTGCATTCACTGTCAAAGCTGGCTGCCTGCTTAGCTCTGTATTGCATCTTCATCTTCACTGTTCTTATGAGAGCATGTCATCTTCACCCCAGTGTTTTGTACTGTCTCTTGTACAGTCATAGTGAGAACAGATCCAGGCCAGTGGACAGAATGACAGGAAGCAGAGCCTGTATGGATAAGTGAGGCATTATCATTACAGCATCGTTACCACTGTTTCTGTCGGGGCCTTACATGTGAGACAAGAATCCTTTTGACGCTTTAATCAAAAGGACATGGACACAAAGAAGAGTGGCCTGTGCTGGAGGAGCAGAGCGTGCAGTGTCAGAGAGAAACAGCTCATTATTTACCATGGCAATCACGTGTGTGCTTTGTGTAGTGTAAACTGTGAAACGCTGCTCCACACTTCAGCTGCCTCACACGCCTCAGAGCCACTTTGGTGGTTGTAGCTACAGGCACAGCTTTCATCCCCAAACATGGAAAAGTGGTTTGCTATCAGTGTGAAATTCTTCCAGAGCACAGCGTTCATCTCCGTGTTTTTGACATTTTACTGACTCTGCATAAAAAAAAAAATTAAATGCGCAGTATTTGACTAGTGAGACGAATCTAACCAGGCTCTCACAATACTTAGTGTTAGTCTTAAAGTATACCTGTGCTTATACAACAAAATGTGAGTTTTGGTGATGGTGCAATGACTGGCCATTTTATTGACACATGCACAGACATTCCGAGGAGGATGAGACAGCTTTTCCTACAAAACGAGATGAGACAAGAGATTGGGTCGACACGAACGAGGCAAGATAAGACAAGTGAACACACAATTTATAATAAACTCTGCAATCCAGTTCACCTTTTATTATCCAAACCAAATGTAAATGCACGGGGAAACAAATCTCACAAGATAATTTTTCTCATGTGTGCACAGTCCTGCAGTAATTTTATCTCTAAGACTTGGCATGAAATTTATTCCCATTCCTACAAAAAGGCAAATAAATTTAGACTTAGATAAACTTTATTGATCCTCAACGGAAATTATTTGGACACACTAGCTCACACATTATAATATAATTACAGGAGAAGGAGAAGTAGTGATTGACCTGACAAAGGGTTATCTATTATATAAGGGTGGGTTGTTGTACAGTTGTATGGAGTATGTTATGATTGTAGTCCTGTATCTCTCACTGTTTGAGAATGAGCTCCTCTGTCCCTCTATAGTCTTGTGCAGTGGGTGAGCAGGGGTGTCCATGATGGAGAGCAGTTTGGCAAGTGCCCTCCTGTCCCTCACTGTGACAAATGCACAATAATATACCAAATTGTTTCTAAAATAAAACAGCACATTGACTGCAGATTTGTGTATCACCAGTGATTCCACCATTACCACATTTTGAGAAACATGTCAACAATTGCCAGTTGTAGTATTCTTTCTTGGCTGTTTCCACTGCACTTTTATAACCATAAAGTCTTTTATGCAACTTGGAGCGACTCCCAAATCTGCTTTTTCCTCTGCATTAAATATTCATGACATGATCCAGGCAGAGTGTGAGAGCCCTGAGTTTTACAGTCTGCTGCCTCATTCACACACCTGTCATTGTGTCCTTCTCCATTTGAACACAGAGCTGCAGTTCTGCCACTGAACCAGAAAACGACTGAGATGCTTGGATTTCCCCGTTCACTCTGGCAACACATTTTGACACAACACAACGAAAGCAGCATTTTAAACTACTCCAAAGATCACTAGACTGGCAACTGACAAAGTGGAAGGAATGAAGGACTAGAGATGAGTATTTTTAGTCTAAGCTTCCAGGGGTTTATTGTTTCTGAGTGATTTGTCAATCTTACTTGCTTTTCTATAGCAGGATTATTTTAATGGATATTGCAGATTGTCTTTAATCTGAGAGTGTAATCCCAGTAGAAAATCACATTAGAATGAAGCTTTAGATTAGATTTAGATTACAATGGCCAAAAAAGATAAAAAAGATAACAACACAAGTCCAAGCTCTGCCAAAACTACCTCAGGAAAAAAAAGAACAAGATGGTGAGCTTGAAAACATGGAGTGGCCAGCACAGTCTCCAGACTTAAACCCCATTGAGCTAGTTTTGGGATGAACTGGACAGAAAAGTAAAAGCCAAGTGCCACATATTTATGGGAACTTCTGCAACAGACTTGGGAAGAATTTTCTGAAGAATATTAGATTTTTTTTGTAAAAAGAATGCCACGCGTGTGTTCAGCTGTTATATCTGCCAAAGGCAGACACTTTCATGAATCAAAAGTTTAGAATACCATATGTCTTGGTCAACAGTAAACCGTATGAAACTGGAAAAAGTGTGGTGTTCTAAAACTTTTGACTGAGTGTATAAATTGTTGTAATAAGATTGTTTAGTGGTCGTAGTTGGTCATATGTGGACATAATGTTGATCTTATAATACAAAGTTATTCTATAATTACTTGAGAGGTAAATAAGAGCTACATAACACATTTTTATACAATTTTCTTGTTATTAGGAAAGTAAAGTCTATCTGTAGTTCTCCACTGGTATGGGTAGATATCGGGTATTGGAAAGTACTTGAAGCAGTGGTATCAGAATCGGTATCAGAACTAAAAAAGCTGGATCAGTGCATTCCTAGTCTTGATATGAATCATTCTAACTTTGTTAAGCCAGATATTGATAATATAAATGACTACAGACTCTGCTATCATTTTAATCGCCCAAACTTAATTCATTTGAACAACAATCTTCACCTGAATATTGCCTGTGTTTGTGGGTAATGATAAAGGCCGCTGCACAATAAAGATAAGATGTATATCTGATCAAAGGGCCCTAAACAAAGCTGCACTGTGATCTCCAGAGCCAGTGCACTCACCTCTGCAGACAGTATCTCTGACAGGCCAGCCCTTTCTCTTCTGCTGCTGAAAGTACATAGGACCCTCCAATAGGCCTCCCACTGGAAAAGCTTCTTCATCACTGCTTTCTTTCTAGTTTTGCTGAGTTTCAGATGATAGCACCACATTTGACACGCCAATGATATTTAATAGAGATGTACAGATGAGTTTGTTGTTGTAATATAGTGAGTTCTTGAGCTTGTCACTGATAATTTTTTTTTTTTTTTTAAATCTGGTTTATCTCTAAGATCCACACTTTTCCAATACTTTAAGAAGATGTGAGTCTGGAATGTCCCAGAGTTCAGATGAGCATGATTGACAGGTGTATTAACCATTCGGGGAAGCACATGGTCCTTCCATATCTAAACAAATATGGCATATAAGGAAAAAAGGAAGGAAAAAATGATCATGTGGTCTGAAATACAGCACAGATTTCTGATTTCTCTCTTTTAATGTAATCAATAGGGGAAACTGACTCCTGTCTCAATGTGTTATGACAACCAACTGAATGTATGCACTTTCTAAATAAAAATAACATTTACAAATAAATTTCCTCCTAACCAACCACTTTTTGCCCCTTCTTCTTCAAGGCCATACATTTATGTTTGAGAGCTAGCAGAATGAGTCAGATTCAAACACGCACTCTGCACATAATAATACATAACAATGTGGAGGAAAATGGTTATTCATAAAAGCAGTTTAGCACATTAAACTTGAAAAGAAACAAACATGAATACCGTGCAATACAGGACCTTTTAGGAGATAGTTAGCATAGTAGTTGTTATTGACTTCACCCTGAGAGCCTCTGAAAACTGCAAAAGGTTTATAAACTCGACTAAACATGAATATTTATGATTCTAGAAATGCGTTTGGAAAGTGAAGAATAAATTTGGACCACTGCAAAACTTTTAAAATGAACTAGTTCTGTTTTGAATAGGTAGAGCGCCTTTAAGAAATCTGTTGTGACCTTGTATGTGGTGGGCTCACTCTGTGGACACAAAACTGCATTAGCTTCAATCCAGAGTCTGGCTGTAACCTTGAGGCAGAATGAACAATGGTCTGATGTATCACAGCCCATTAGTGAAGGAAATGGTCCTCATCTGTGTACCAACATGTGCACTGCTGAGAACTGTTCACCCCTAAAGTCACTGCTAATTTTAGATAAATATTTAACAGTGTAACAACTTCCCATTTGTCGTTTTCTATTCCACAACATGGGACATTGATTGAGCTTTACAGTGTTTGTTAGTTACATGCCTCTTGTAGACTGCAGGATAACCAATGCTTTATTACAGCTTTGAATACTGTATAAGAAACAAGAAAAAAAATTACAATTTCAGTGAGGTTCAATTATAAGATGCACTATGTAACTTTTTGGTAGAGGTCTTGCCACCTGCTTGTTTCCATAGAAATCTTATTGCCAAGAATGTTTTGCAGTCTGGGCCTGTGTTCAATTCAACTTGTGTTCAGTTCAATTACAGGTGTCTTGGCTGGAAAATACTAGCCAGGCTGGCACCACCTAGTGCCTCCGCTCATATCTCTCCAGCAACTAGGTCAGGAATCGGAATACACTTAGACAGTTTGTAAAAACCCAGGAAGTGCGAGTCTGGGCACCAGCCAATCAGCGAAGAGCCATATATTCTGTGTTGGCAACGATTCCCAAGATCGAGGATTTAAAGCCAAAACAAAGAGAATGTTTGGTGAATTTTATCAAGGGGAAAGACGTTATTGCCCTTCTTCCTATGGGATTTGGGAAAAGCTTAATATACCAGTTAGTCGTGTTAGCAGCGCATTACATACGTCACGACCAAATAGCAGTGATTGGTTAAATGAAAAAAGTACCCATCTACAGTCAAGCAAACAAATTCTACCGTTGTGAGGTCAGACGGTTTTTACAAAGTGAAACCGGCTGATGAATCAGGGTAGGAAAATACACTGGGGGAGAGAGTGCATGTTTTCAAAAATCTGACCTAAAATTTGGTCTGGTGGCTTCACCTGCTTGTCTCCATGGAGATAGATATGTCATATTATGGAACATTCCAAGCAAAGCAATGAAATCTCCATGAAGAAACGAAGTGGTGGACTCTGCTACCAGAAAAGTTGCATAGCACACCCTTAAAACTTACTTATTCATCCCTCACAAAGGTTCTCTAGAATATATGAATATGTGGGTAGATGGACCATTCTATTATAATATAAACCCACAGCTGAGGACACAGCTGCTGAACCTGGGGAGAACATATGGCATAGACTTGATCCCATATTGCTTTGTATGTCTGTATCAAGGTCATTTGAGTCCACTGCACATGTGAAGCAGATCATAGTGTCATTGGCTTTTCTCTCTCTGTCCATCTGCAGTGATATCCGCAGTGTACCACCAAACTGTGAACAGGATGAAAACTCCTCTCCAAACCCTCCCACTGTTCTTTTCCATCCTCCTCTTTTCTTTTTATCCTGCCCTGTTTCTTTCACTCTCTTTCTCTCACCGGGCCTTCAAAGCTCCCTTTTTAAAAGTCACTCCATGTACGAGCAGCTAAACATCTCTGATCCTTCTCTCTTTTAGTCATAATACCTGCTGCCTATAGTGCGTTACCCCCTTTAACATGCCCACTCTGCTCTCATCTCTGCCGCACTTAGCCGCTTATGTAACTCGCTGTAGACTCACCAGTCAGAAATTCAGAATGAAGTCATGTCCTTCAACTTCCTCTGGCGCCGTAATTGTGAATACCAGCAGCTTTTATAGATGTTTTATACTATGCCTTATTCTCTCTCTGTAATTATACAAAAAAAGTTTCTGCTTTTTTCTTTTTAATCACACAAGCTGGTTGAATTGTTGTTGCTAATCTTTGAGTTTGATCAATGTCAAACCTTTAGTTTAGTTTATTGGTTTATTTTAACAGGGACAATGTGCAAACACTTTAATCTTACATTTAGCTAAAGCTAGATTTCCTCTGCAGTCCCCAGGCAGGTTAACAATTAAAATTCATTCAAGTGTCCATCCATTTACAATCAAAGCATGCATTCTCCTATTCATTCATTTAAAAACATCACACCCCACATTTCTACATTTTAAATTGTCAGATCTCAGATGTAAGTTAAATGTAAGTCAGATGTTGCCATATAAGCTACCACATGCAAATACAAATCAGTGTTGACAGAGCTGTCTCTTTAAGAGGACTTTTTAGAGTTCCCTGAGGTCAGACGAGAGTTTCAGCCTGTCTGGAGCTTGTTCCTTTCATAAATGTATGAGAAGTCTCAGCTAAATCTGGGGAGTTTGCCATGCTTAATACAGTATGGGACAATGTATCAATAAACTAATTATGTGCATAAGAATACCTTTTAGCTAAAAATTAACAAAAATAAAAGGATATTGTTTTTTTTGTTTGTTTTTTTTCAGTTGTTTTTTATTCTTAACAAAAACAGAGAAAATCAAAGCAAAAAAGTCCCACAATCCATCCCTCTCTCAATCTACAATCGTCACACACAAAACAACACAAAGTAAAACATAAAAACTTGTTGCCGTCATCATCGTTCTCGTCGTTATCATCATTCTTGTTGTTGTCGTCTTTGTTTTTACTGTGCTGAAAAAACATATGAAAATATGCGTCCTTACTATCATCATAATAATTTGCCCTGAACCAAAATTTTTACTGAAAATAATGTATTAAATCCTACGTTATGTCAATTGCTTTTCTGCAAATTGCCTCATAATGTTGTTGGCATGCTCCCATTTTAGAAACCCAGCCAGCCGCCCCTGTTAGTTTAGCCTACAAAAACACCTTCATCAGTCCATGTTTACTTTTATTTTGTTCTCTTCGACTTTCCCTCCATCCGTCCCTCCCGTCTGTCCTTCTGCTCTTCCTCTCCTCGCTCGCCCCGTCTGACTCCTCACCAGCAGCCATAGCCCGTTGCTATGGAACTGCTAATCAGCCTTTTAAGCAGTAGCTCACTAATGGCTTTCCAGACGGTAAACAGAAACTAGGCCCACTGTTGCCTACACTTGTGTCCAACATAAATGACTTTGAAAATGTAAGCACAGCACGGGGAATGTTTCACTTAGCGACTGAAGCACTGATCAATAATGTGTCCTTTGTCATTACAGGACTGCATCCAGCTCAACCAGTACAAGCTCAAGAGCGAGATTGGAAAGGTATGTCAAGTATTTTAAAGGGGACATATTTTATTTTACAAGGTGCAATGTTTAACTTTTCTGGTGGAAGGTCCGTCACCTGCTTGTGTTCATGGATATGTTATTGCTTTGTCTGGAATGTGCCACAGTTTGGCATTAAATATATCTATCCCCATTTAATTTATACATGTCTTCTCTAAATGTCCTATATTACACTAAATCAACTCTTGTCAGCATTAAGCAATGTTATAATGTTGTTACCTAATCAAAAAACATACATGGAGTTGGCAATTAAGCCCTGATGAACACCAGTTAAGGTCGAAACATGTTGGCTTTGGCCATTCAAATAAAGGCCTTTTAATTATATTTTTCCTCGTGCGATGTGTTAATTTTTTCTACTGTTTTGGAGTGCCTGGAATCCGTTGTGTTTGAGTTTTGATCCTTTTTTCCAAGAGCACCCTTTATTTCCTCCTGCTGATTGGAACACCTGCAGCAAACAGCCACATTTTTGTTCTTTCTGCATACATGGAGTTGTATTTCATTCACACATGATTGAGTAACCCTCCAAAGCTCAAAATGCTTCCTTTCACCTTGTGATGTCATGAAGTGGTCATTTTCAAGTTAATACTTATCTTTTGCATTTAGTTAAGTAGAGATTGGCAATTCCTGGTGTGAAATTATGCAAATGATTGTAGTGAAGGTGTATGGAGTTTAAAAACTCTGTATTATCACCTGACATCACAAGGCCTAACAGAATGTTTTGTTCTGTTTGAGAGAAGATCACAGCCTAAATATTCAGGGTTTGAGTGTTAAACATGTGTGAATGAAACAAAACACAACTCCAGGTATGTTTGTGATGAGGAAACATTATAACATACATCAGAAAATAGTCTAATATGGACCCTTTTAATCAAACATAAACATTGGGCTCTGTTTTGTCAAGTTAAGTGTGAGGCTGTTTTGCGTTCATGAATTATAAATCTGAAGCTAATTAACATTGCAGTAGATTTGACAGAGGACATATTTATCTCAATGTCTCTTGTTGTACACACAAAAGAAGCATTTCAGCACTTTGTCAGCACTGTTGTCACATTTGAAAAGAGATGAGACATGTCAAATTGTGTTTCGTTCTGGAGGACAATGCGGTTCCCCATAGAAAAGCAACAGAATACAGAGTTATCTAAGCTCATCATAAGTAACAATAACATGTGAGTTATTATGTATTCAACACGAGTGAACCCTCCCTCAGGCAGACCTGTCAAGTGGTTTTCATCGACCCTGTTATTGTTTCTTGTGATACTTTATGTCAATAGTTGAATGTTATGTGATTTGACACAATATTGATGACTTAGAAGTGCCTATATCCGTTAAGTAAACACATTGGTGTAATAGTTTTAAAAGACCATCATCTAAAAAATGAAATGTATCAAAATTGCACTGCAAATCACTGCAAAAAATAACATTTAGGTAACTTTAGATTACTCAAATTAAGTTAACCGACTTGACAAGTAAAATGATCTACCAATGTAGTAAGTCTTTTTTGATTCAAACAATATAAGATTTTCTTTCTTATTTCATTGTTAGTTAGTTAGTTCTTTTTTGCAGCCTTGAGTTTAGGACAAATTCATCAGATTCAGCACACGTTTGCTAGACTTTTGACACATATGGATTTTTCTTTGGCCTATGGCAGATTTTCTGATTTTGATGAATTTTTAAAAATATAGCTATGATCATATACAACAAATCATTTTTGTTTGTTTTTTTATTTATTTATTTTTTTAATAAAAGAATCATCTTAAAATATCCTATTGTCTCATTTCCTTAATGAAAAATACATACAAATAAAACATTTTCTTAACTTTATTTAACAGTGCAACAAAGCTCTTTGTTTTCCAACACACAACAAAAGTGTTCATAGTGCAGAGGTTCACTCAAAAAAACCAAAAGGTCAGTTTCAAATGTACATGAGTAATAAATCAAGTTAAAAAGGTCATGTTAGCCCCACAAACATAATTAAACCCAATGTAATAAAGCCACAGATGTAATAACTGAATTTCCCACAAATAGCTTTTTTTGTTAACATTGTGTTGACAAAAAACATTGTTTGTGTGATGTTATTATGTTTGTGTGTTATTTACAGTTTTATTAGGTTTGTGGGGCTTATTACATTTGTGGGGTTTGCAAAGCTTGCTAGGGATAATTTTACTTGTCATGTGGAATTTACTCGAACATTTTCTTAATTGAAGTAATTTTAACTTGGTAAGATTTGATTTTTTTTACAGTGTGATCAATATTCAGGTCAGTTTTTTGTATGTCAGCGGTTTAAATGGTGGGAAAAACACACGCCCTCGGGCAGACTGTGTGGGAGGAGCCTTTTGTGCCAAAGAATCAAACTGTTGTTTTTGAATGAAAAACTGCAGCCTTCTAAACATGCAGCCAGCATGGTGCGGCCGTCTGTTCAGCAGAGCTAGGCTTGTGGCAAATTTAAACACACAAACCCACATGGCCTTGAACGAAATGCAATCCATAGTTCAGCTTGGTTTTTGGGTCAAATTTATATGCTGTATATGAACTTGTGAATCATTTTAATGGGCCCATATTATGCTGACAATTTCAGCATACAAACCTTGCATATTTAGACAGAGCAAACACTCTTTTCCAACTTGTTATGTCATGTGGAAATACAGGAAGTGTTCCACTGTGTTTTTAAACTCCATACACCATCACTAGAATCATCTGGATGGTTTCAGCCTTGGAATTGCCAATCTCTACTGACCTAAAGGTAAAAAGTAGCTGTTCACTTGAAAACTACCACTTCATGATATGACAAGGTGAAACAGAGAATTTTTATCTTTGAAAATGTAGACAGACGAATATTAAAGGGTTGCTCAAACATGTGAAAAAACTCAAGATAGGTTTTTGATGAGGTAACAACATAACATGACTTAAACTTAGTCAATTTTGTGTAATATAGGACTTTTTCATCGTATTATCTGTAAGTGGATAAATATATAAAGAAAACCTTTATAAGCAGGTGGTTCAGCCTAACCTCTTGATCATTTTGAACTGATGGATTTACATGTCCTTTTTTTGCAGGGCTCCTATGGTGTGGTCAAACTCGCTTACAATGAAGATGATGAGAAACATTATGTAAGTGGTACCACGTGTTGTGTTTGTTTTTCTGTTCCACACTTGTAACAAAGCACTCGTCTCTTCAACAAAGCCCTCTATTGTCTACACCAAAGCGCAGAGAATCTCACTAGAGCTATTGATTTCTGCTCCCCTTACCTTTTGCAGACGTGCTGTGAGTCGTCCTCTCCAATCGCATCAGTACAAACTTGGGAATCAAAGTGTCCTGCAGTGGCACTCGAGAACCTCCAGGACTTATTATCAATCATCAAAGAGATGCGCATCAACAGCAGCTCTGAGCAGCTCTAGGCAGTTCTGACAATCTGGATAAAAGCCAGTATGGGGCCGGAATGAGGTCGTTTCAGGCGTCTCTCTGCAGGGGGCAGTTACAACACGGCAATCTAAAGTAAACAGCTGATGTGAAGTAAAATGTTTTCAGTGCAAGGACTATTTAGAAGTACTGTAAAACTCAGTTAGTTTCTCATGCTAGTTGTACTATAATGAGTAAAGTTCAAACTTGACTGACTGGGTATAGTCCATAATGTATTCACTTCATCATCTCTCTGCAGGGGGACGGGTACAACTAGACAATCTAAGGTAAACAGATGTGAAGTAAAATGTTATCAGCTGAAGAAATGTTTATAACTACTGTAAAATCTCACTTAGTTTCTCACACTAGTGCCTGTTCGTACTATAGTGAGTAAAGTTCAAACCTGTGACTAACCCCATAGTGCACTCCACCTTAGGCTTGATAAGCTCCAACCCATGTGATCTTGAATGGCAAATGTCAAAGTATTTAAAAAATACAATACAAATAGCTGTAAACATTAACCAGTGATTCAGTCACTACGGCATTTATGCCTGAATGAAAGGCTCCATGGATCAATGTCTGGAGTTTTGACTGACTAGTTTCAGTATATTTTTTCTATTTAAAAATACTTGCTAATGAATGGAATAACCATATAATATTTTAAAATCAACTAATACATGTTGCATTGGGGTTCAGAAAAACAAAACAAAACACATCATTAACAAGTCATGAATCACTTGAAACTGTTCAGGTTCAGGTGACTTTATTTGTACCTGTTGGCAGATTTGTTTTGCAGCGATTTTTCAGGTTTGGTATCAATACACATTTAGACAATACAAACACATCATCAAACATTCAAACACTGGTTCAAAATCTAATAAATACTTAAAAAATATAAAACAGAAGAATAAAGTTCTATAATTTGTTCATAAGGATAGCTGCTGAAGGAACAAAGCTGGTCCTATTACACCATAATTGTAGGTCTACAGTTATATCTGTCAAAACAAATTAAGTGCATTATTGATAAAAATCATATTTTACATTTTAAATGGTGCACTATGTAATTTTTCTGGTGGAGGGTTCGCAACCTGCTTGTCTCCATGAAGATTTAATTGTTTTGTCTAGAATGTCCCAGTATGGCATGAAACGTACCCATCTTGCATTTACTCAACAACATGGCCCTGTGCTGAGATAAATAAGTGTAATGCCATACTGTGGAACATTCCAGTCAGTATCTCCATGAAGAGAAGCAGGAAACAGATCCTCCAGCAGAAAAGTTACACAGTGCACCTTTAATAATATGAATAATAAATAAAAACGGAGAATGTCTTTGTAGTCCTGGTAACAATAACGATTACTAAAGTAAGATCATTTTAATTGTCTAGTCTGTTATTCTGATTAATAACCCCAACCCCAGCCCCATTTTGCAGTTACCCAACAGCAGAGTGAGCAGATGAGGTCGTACGAGGTCACGTCCCGTTGCAACCTCCCATTTACATTTAGCAACCTTGACAACCCTGACACAAACTGACTGCCCACCACCTCTTCCTCTGCACACTAAGCCCACCTGATGCGCAGTTTATTAGTGTTATGCATCTGAACTTATGTCAAATTGTTGGAACGGGGATTTTAAACAGCTAATTAATGCCTCATATGGGCTCTCAGAAGTGGAGGCAGTGATTTGATTTCTTTTTCATTTGCTTAATGAGAACAGCTCTCTCTGGAGATGATACAAACACTGTAACTGTTATCTCAGTATGTGGAACACGACACCTAATAATTGCCCAGTCAGTCTGTCTGCGTCCGGGGCACTGCTCTTATGTGCAGTAATACCAGTGTTATCCTCCAGGCCTTTTCAGCGTTTAGCAGTTCAAGTGTCAGAAAGGAGGAGGTTATGGTTGGAGAGTCGGTCTGTGAAAACTAGGCTACTGCCCTCTTAATTCAGATGTATTCATATTATCCTCCAGCTATTATGGAGCAGAGAACCCAAGCCAAGTATTTTCCCTTGTTTGTTTATTCATTCAATTTCTCCAATTTATTTAATTTGTGAATGTGTAGGCGTGGACACAAAGCACCTACAGGCAACGATGTGATGTTTTGTCAGAGCTAGGGCTGCACAATTTTTGAAAAAAATAAAATAAAATAAATTGTACAATTAAACTTGTGATTAATGTTTAAACAGTAAATCTGCACCTTCTAAACAACTCCAGGTGCATTAACATCTGAGACAAGACTGAAATATGAATTAATGAATTATTACAAGAATACATCAATTTCAGAATGTTTGTAAAAATCTAAACTAAACTGTAAATAAAAGGCACGATATTGTGTTCTTTGAAGAGGACCTCCTATTACTTAAAGGTGCATTGTAAGCATTGTAACTTTTCTGGTAGAGGGCCTGTCAAATGTTTTTCCTGCTGTCTGGAATGTTTCACAGTGTGGTATACCTTTTTATCTTCATGGAGACCAAACCAGACCAGAAGTTACAGGTCAGATCTGTGGAGAGACAACCCCGCTCACAGTCAGAATACCTGTTTTTCTTGGTATTTTTGAGCAGTAAAACCACTGTAACTGAATAAATGTAAGGTAGATCTGTTTAATGTCACACTGTGGAACATTCCAGGCAGAGCAATGACTTATCCATAGAAACAAGCAAGTGATGAACCCCCAACCAAAAAGTTACATAATGCACCTTTAAATAATTGCAGTTTTTACCATTTTAATAATTGCAATCAAATTGCAATTTAAATTTGATTGTGATATACTGTGCAATCATAGTTGGGGCAGGCAGAGATAGATAATCGCAACTACATAAAATCTGTGTCAAATACATAGGCCAACTGTTTTCTCTGAGTGTACTTCGGAAAAATTGATCATATAAAGCTGCAGATTGTATATACACTGGTACTCTGTTCCACCGTGTGATGTCATGAAGCAATAGTTTTCAAGTCAACAGCTACCTTTAACCTTTAGTTCAGTAGAGATTGGCAATTCCAGGGCTGACAGATGATTCTAGTGAAGGTGTATGGAGTTTAAAAACACAGTGGAGCACTTCCTGTATTACCAAATGACGTCATAAGGTGGAACAAACCTTAAATTGTTTGAGGGAAGAACTCAGCCTAAATGTGCAAGGTTTGTGTGCTGAACATGTGTGATTGAAACAAAACTCAACTCCAGCTATGTTTTTGATGAGGAAACAACATTATAACATAGATCAGAAAATAGCGCCCTTTAAGCCAGTTTGCGTTCTTGGACATTTGACAGTGTTCTCCTGAATGACGATGCGTGGTGCTTTATTTCCCCATATCCATCCTCCCACAAGCACACTGCGTACTCCATGGAAACCGTGTCCAGGACGATGGGCCCATGCCAAACCTGATCTGTGCTCTATGCTGACTGCAGTTTTAAAAGGAAGCTCTTAGCAGGTCTACCAAACACACAAAAACAGGAAAGTGTTAAATTAATCTGATTAATCATAACTCCTGTTAAACGTGCTGTTTCTATGAACCTGTAAATATACACTTGCCATCACTAATGAGGTATCTTACAGGATTTTTTCTTTTACTTGTGAGGGAGCCTGTTTAGTGAAAAAAACAAGAAAACAAAACGTGTCACTGCATGTTCTGTTAAAATTCAAATTATTGTCTTGAGATCTTAAAAGTTAACTCTGCCTCCTGTGCAAATGGGTTGAAGAAACTGGTTCAGACAACTTCTAAAACAGGGGTGCTCACACTTTTCAGCATGCGAGCTACTTACAAAATGACCAAGTCAAAATGATCTACCTAATACAAAGCTAAGCAAACTGCACTGAAACACTCTGTGCCCCTTTTTTGGACCCTCACCCACAGTCCGAGAACTCCTTCTTTAAGAGAACTTCCTCTGGCACTTTACACATCCATCCATCCATTTTCTTCCGCTTATCTGGGGCCGGGTCGCGGGGGCAGCAGTCTAAGCAGGGACTCCCAGACTTCCTTCACCCCAGACACGTCCTCCAGCTCCTCCGGGGGAATCCCGAGACGTTCCCAGGCCAGCCGAGAGACATAGTCCCTCCTGCATGTCCTGGGTCTTCCCTGGGGCCTCCTCCCGGTGGGACATGCCCAGAACACCTCCCGAGGGAGGCGTCCAGGAGGCATCCGTAACAGATGCTCAAGCCACCTCAACTGGCTCCTCTCGACGTGGAGGAGCAGCGGCTCTACTCCAAGCTCCTCCTGTGTGACTGAGCTCCTCACCCTATCTCTAAGGGAGCGCCCAGCCACCCTGCGAAGGAAACTCATTTCGAGCGCTTGTATCCGCAATCTTGTCCTTTCGGTCACTACCCAGAGCTCATGACCATAGGTGAGAGTAGGAACAAAGACTGACCAGTAAATCGAGAGCTTCGCCTTTCGGCTCAGCTCCCTCTTCACCACAACACACTTTACACAAAACTATGAAAAAAGTGAAGGAAGTAGGTAAGATTTTTAAACCTGTTTTTTTAAAGTTCCAAACTGGAGTTTCATTCTTTTCTGGTTTTGCAGTGATATTTACCAGCCTCTGCACATTTACCAAACCAAACGCACATTGTGGCAAACACAGATGCATTTGTGCACTTTTGTTAGGCAAACTTCAGCCAAATGTGGCAGTAGGTCTGTTCTGTAGATCTGCTCTATGCTGTAGACCTGCTTTGTGCCAACACTCTAACACAAATTTAGACTCGTTTTTGCTTCACGTTTCGTCTTGCTCTTCTAATCAGCGCGCACTGTGGAAGTGGCTTGTTTTCACTGTACACAGGAAGGAGTGAGAGCGTGAAAAGGCGAGGGGCATGCTGACGTGAGACAGATAGACAGGTAGGATGTTTAGGAAGTTTAACCTGCCCTATGATGCACGCTGGTACACAAGGGCACACGCTGTTGCAGACGAGCATAGGGAGCGTGCGTATTTGTGATTTGTGCCGTAGAGTCTCCGCGGGTTTCAAATGAGCGCACAGGCTGCACTGAGACGCCCCACACACTCCTGCACCCCGGTACAAATTTATTGCCAGAGGCTGTAATGAAATATGATTGCACTTGTTGAGTGTCAGACCTTGAGTGAGAGACAAGACCGAGTCAAAATGCGATCGAGTCCGAGACGAGTACTAAGACACGGTGATCTACCCACACGACCTTGGCGATCGACTGGTAGATCGGGATCGACGTATTGTGCACCCCTGTTCTAAAACCACATGAAAAATTGTTATTCTTGGAAATTAACTCTGGTGTGCTCTTGTAGGCAATGAAGCTGGTATCCAAGAAGAGACTCATGAAGCAGTGTGGATTTCCTCGTAAGTCTAATTTCATTGTTATTTACTTTTATGGTAAAAAGTATGAACAATGAACAATCAAGATTCTAGCTGTCAAGATGCAAGATTAAAGCAGATATTGGACCTATAATACAATACTGTTATCAGATATCGGCGCCTACATTGAAAATCTTGGTCTATAAATTGATGTAATAAGATGATTTAATGCACAATGTTGGCCCAAAACGTCTCATAATATTAAACATAAAACAAATCTGCTCTGTAGGTACAAAACACATTTAGATCATTCTTTACCTTATGTCATTTGTGTTTAAAGGAAATATATTTTCAGTGTCAGGCTGAAGTATCAGTTGATATCAGGGATTGGCAGATTGTTAAAGTGAAAGTATTGCCTTTGTTATCAGAACAGAAAAGCCTGGATTGGCATCCCTAACTAAGTGATTTTTGACTTATCCTCCACAGGTCGACCGCCTCCGCGAGGACCCAAGGCGGCCCAGGGAGAACAGCCCAAGATCTTAGGACCCCTGGAGCGGGTTTACCAAGAGATTGCCATTCTTAAAAAGCTGGACCATGTCAACATTGTCAAACTGGTTGAGGTGAGAGCATTGATAACATCTAATTCTCTGTTTAAACATGTGACTCTAGCTGGCTTTGAGTGGCATCTTGGCATTCACTGTGCTTTTAATACCACAATGCTTCATTGAGGTGCTGTACATGACTTTTTTATGTCTTAAAATATAAAGAACACATCTAGTTCATTTTTAACTCGTACAAACTTATTCTTGCTCATCTTATGCATTTCAAACATCCTAATTATTTACTGTGATGACTTTTGAATATTTAGTTATCTTTATAATGTTGTTACCTCATCAAAAACATATTCAGATTTGTTTTATTTCATTCACACAAGTTTGAGTAATCCTGTAGATGGATAGATACTGTAGATAGATAGATAATACTTTATTTATCATTTGGTAATACAGGAGTGCTACATGAGTGTTTTCTGTTTGGGAGAAGAACTCTTGTGTGTTAAACATGTGTGAAGGAAACAAAACACAAGTCCAGGCATGTTTGTGATGAGGAAATAATATGATTATTACATAGATCAGAAAATAGTGTCATATGGGCCCTTTAACTGACTGCTGTGTTGACTACATGTATCCTATTTTGTCAAAAAAACAAATGTTACTTTTATTCATGTTGTAACCACTGCCACTGTGATCCATAAAACAAAACTTGATCAGTGCAAAGCCTCTTCTCTCCTGCTGAGATTCAAAGATGGAGAATGTGTTGGAGTTGGTACAGGCTGTTTATAAAAGATGAGGAGCCATTTTTACTCTGTGACTGGAGATGCCCGTTGCTCCCCTTGCGATAGCATCAGAGCTGTTTTCAGTCTTGGGCCAGATGGCGGGGGCACACTTGTCCTGCTCGGGGAGTTAACCTTCTGTGAGTGAAGAGCTGTCTGGGCCAAAGTCTGAGCCCAAAATACACACGTTTTAACTATGAGTGCAGTTCTTTTACAAAGTACTAATTATTCCCTGTCTACTTTGTGTAATACATTTTGACTAGATTACTAATGTTCAGTGTCACTAGTCACTTCGTGCAGTTGAATTTTATGCGTAGTCCAATGTATTAATCTTTACTTATTCTACTTTATTGTAACTAATGTATTTTATTTTTATTTTATTTTTTAGATTTGATCCTTACCCTCACAGAATCAATTTTAACATAGTAACAAGTTACAGTTTAAGACAGAATTCTATATTTCATTCCCCCATCTTTACTTTACCTTAACTACCAAAACTGTGTTTTTTTAAATGGCCCATCTTACTGTATTTTCTGATCTATGTTGTAACAATGTGTCCTCATCAAAAACATAACCAGAGATTTATTTTGTTTTATGTACACATGTTTAATACCCACATCCTGCATATTTAAATTGTGCTCTCCTCTCAAACAGGAAACACTCCACACACTCCATACACCTTCACTGGAATAATCTGGATAATTTCAGACCTGTAATTTCACATCTCTAGTTAACCAAAGGTATAAGATGTTAACTTGCAAACTACCACTACCAGCATTTTGAGTTTTGGAGATGTAGACAGACTAATAATAAAGGATTACTCCAACATGTGTGAATGAATCAAAACAAAACTCCACTTATGTTTGTGAGAAGGTAACAAGATTTTAACATGGCTTAAAGCTCACAAGAGTCAATTTTACATAATAAACCCTAACTGCCTTACTCTTCCATCTTGCCCTTCATGTAACAACTAAAAATCAGCTAATAATAATAACAGAATATAACAGTATGATGTTTTTTAAGTAGAAAATGTTTTATCACCAAGTATAGCACAATATTCAACATATTTTTGGTCTAATAATAATTATACCTCTACTTGCTGCCTACTCTGGCTGGGGTGGCATTCATTATTGCTTTTTCCAAATGATTCCTGTGAGACCCGAGCCCTATCGTCTAATTGCGTTTTGGCTGTTATTTGGAAACATTAAAGCGAGGGCCAAGTGGAGCGGATTCAGGCTGATGAAAACGATATGGTCATTTGTCACAGATGACAGTGCCTTTCTCATTGCTGTACAGTACAGTAACAGGAGGAAAAGAAGCAGTTAATTTTTACGTGCTGTACAAATGCCATGAATGCATCCTAATGAAGTGTACCAGGTTGAAAAATGGCTGTATCATAATAGGAAAGAATAAAAAATAGGGGAGTCTGCCAGGAGCAATGTGGCAGAGTTTCTAGCACTCATCGGGTCGCCTGGGCCTTTCTGTGTGGAGTGTGAATGTTCTCCCTGATTCTCCCTAATCAAACAGTTAGTCTCCATGGAATTGTTATTGCTTTGCCTTAGTGTTCCACAGTAAACCAGTTTTTCTCCAAAAAGACAAGCGGGTGATGTCAATAGGCCAGGTCAGATCTATGGTAAGGTGGGCCCTTTCTCTGTAACAATGCTTGCTTTTTAGCAATAAAACCACCTGTGAATGAATAAATGTAAGAGAGGTATGTTTTCTGCTATACTGTGGAATATTCCAGGCAAAGGTAATTATCTCCATGAGAATGACAAATAGCAAGATTACCCCTCACACAAAAACTTACATAGTGCACTTTTGAGTAAAATCAAATTGCTATGGTTACTTGATCTGTCCTGTTTTTCCCTACTGCACCCGTTATAATTTAAGTTTTCTTGTAGATAATTGCAGTGCTCTGAAAAACCTGTAATTGTCTGCAAACAGTGATGAGCATGAATTAAACCTAAAAATAACTAGATCAGATTTTCAAGCACTTTTCTGTCTGTTCTGCCTGAGATTGTTTACCTTTACTGAACATTGCCAAAGATGCTAGATTGGTTTCTAATGTGCCCAATATACAAATAGCACTACTTAAACAGAGGGTATGTAGGGTATTTATTTAAAATTTTGTGACTTCTCTGTTCCCAGTTACAAGGTAAACCTATCAAGTATTGTTTTTACTGATATAAATTTAAATGTTCATTTGTTGCTAATTACAAAAACATTGGACATAATTGCCAAATTGTTGATGTTTTCATTTGGTGTTCTTTTCTCAAGATGATTATCTCACAAGGAAATAAAAAGTTTAGCATGAGCCTCTCATTTAGGTTGTTATTTTCAATGTTTAAATTCATTTGTTTTAAAACTTTAAATGACTCGGATCTCTGAATTACATGTATCTGAACATACACATATCCCCCCAACATCCCCCCAGTACTTCTGGTGTGTGGGGACCAGGAGAAAGACCCTAAAGAAAATACAAAAAAAGAATGTATCATTACTCTTTTTGACTAAAGGTCAATAGCATGTTAAAACATTGTATTGGGTAAGACATCAAACTTGAAGATATTTTATTTTTACAAAATACTACTAACCTTTTGATTCAAATAATTTTAATAATTCTCCACTTGGTATAATATCCTGCGTCAAAACACCACACAAAAGTGTGCACATTTATAAGCTATTATTAAAAGAAATGTGAATACAGTGAATGAATGCAGTGTGAAAAACTCAGAAGAGTCATTAGATTTTAATTTGGAATTGGAGAATCAGTACCGGGTGCAGGCAGAGATAGGGCCGTGTGAAGGCGTTTGGATCAGGGCTGAGTGAGATCGTGGACCCGCTGTTTGCAGTCTCCTCGAGACGGAGCAGAGTCAGAGCGGGACTCACCTGGTTTAGGCGTATGCAGGTGTCAGGTTAGACCTGGTCAAATGCAGGTTTAGTCCTTGTTTAGAGACGATTCCACCTCCTCTGGTGCCCAGTGCACTCCAGGCTACGGAGCGTATACCGCGTTCCCGCTGCCCATGATATACGGCCTGCAGAAACACCGGGAATTCCAACAGCTCCCCTCAGAGAGTCAGCTGCAGTGTAGCCGCTGAGAGTGCTCTCTATTCCTGCTTAAAGACAGTGCGCAGCTGCGCTGTAACCTGGTCCGGCAAGTGAAGAGCATCACAGAAACTTCGGGGCTTTCAGGGCTGCTCTACGAGAAAAACACTGACAAAAAGCAAATACATTTTCGGCTTACAACTAAGGGTTACGATTTTGAATTTCCCATTTTAATACAAAATCAAATGCAATGTGAATGTACATGGACCCAAGAGCCTCACATGTACATGGATATCTGTCACATTATTATTTTACCACCAACATTTTTGTATTTCTCATTTGAAATAGCTCATAAAAAGCTCATAAATAGCTCATAACTGTCCTAAATCGTGTTACATACACTGAGTGTAGGGCAGGCCTGTCACAAGCTTTACAATGACCTAATGTATTATGACCTAATAAATTTACTACTCAGCTCAAATATATTTAGTATTTTTATGAATTAAATTAACTGCAGAGTGTCCTAAAAAGGTAAAGTAATCTGACCCGGGGCATGTGAGAGCTCAGGTGGTTGGACTTGAGTTCAGTTCTGCTGAAAAACAAACGCTGTTAGCTCTTACCTTAGCTTCGGACCGTGAAATGTGGCCTCTCTCTTGGACTGTGGCTCTCCCGCTGGAAACGTTACAAAAGTCCAACACTGATGTAGTGTAATATTCAAAATAGACACTTTCTAAGTGTTTGACGTTAACACTGTGACTCAACAACTACTTATTTTACTTTACAGCACTGTCATAGTTGAAATAACTCTTGACTATGTTGAAACATCACTGGATTTTCTTCACTTTACTCACAACTACACCAACACCATGAATTTAACATTTGAATTTGCTGTGTATCGCTGTAAATCCCATAGAACTCCATAGGAAAGCATAGGAAAACTATAGATGTGTTTGCATACATGCCTACAGAAGGTGTAGGGGTGAGTTGGGTTTGAATTGTAAAAATAACAAATTTTATCTTTTCCTAACAGGAGAAACCTATAAAAATCCACAATTTATGATTTCCTAGTGTAAGTTTTACATCCATGCAAGCAAAAACATGTACAGTTAAAATTTCAATATATTATAGATTATTTGGTATGTATGATTAGGGCAGGAGTAAATGAAGACACTGATTTTAAAAAGTTGGATGCAAATCTGTACTGCATAAAAATAATGTGGTATTCTTTTCAGAGGTACAGTACATTATTTATATAAAAAATATATATATCAAAATCAGTGTTGGCAGTATTTTATGAGATTTTTGTGTCGAATGACCATAGTTGTGATTTATTTTAAAGGGGTACCTGAGGGTTATATTAACCCTCTGGTGCATAGCGGTCATACAGTCAGCTTAAAAAGTAACTCTCTTTAATGCATTGGTTTCTGTGGTGGTACTGCATATCAGCCTCTAGAGTGCCCTCTGCTGCCATTGTCCATTGAGGTCAATTCAGTGGTTAGTCGATGTAACTGCAAGTAAATTTCCTCTGAATCCAAGATGGCCGACAAACAGCTACCCCTACTGACCACTGCTGGCATATCATGTCGATCCTTCTATACTAAAAGAGCCCCACAGCTAAAAAAAATATGATGACTTACAGTAACATCTAGGGAAGGATATTATCTGTTTGGAATATGAAATTTTTATGTCCAATATATAGAAAATTACAATTAATCATGTGTCCAGTGAAGTGGACATCATGCATCACAGAGTTTTTTTTTTCAACAAAAGCCATATAATTGCTTCACTGTTTTGGGCACTTCAGGAGACATTCAAGGCAGCAGCAGACCCTGAAGAATTTCAGTCAGTTGATGAGCAGATCATTCCTTTCAAAGCCCATCAAACAATATATACCAAAAGAGCCCAAACCCTGGGGAGTGAAAGTGTGGGTGACGGCAGGAACCTCAGGCTATATGAATATATTTGTATGCCAAGTGTACAAAGGCTCTGCAAGTAGTGGTCACATCAGTGGATTGGGAATGGCTGGAGATGTGGTGATGCATCTTTGTGATGACATAAAACACAAAATTCACAAGGTGTTTTTGATAACTTCTTCTGCAGCATTCTACTCAATGAGGCCTTGAAAGACCAAAGCATCTATGGCACAGGTACATGCAGAGCAAACAGGCTGAAGGGAGCAAATCAGAAACTCAAGGGTGAAAAACAACTGAAAGAAATGGGCAGAGGAGCTTGCTGTGTTGTCAGCAATAATGCAAACATCACTGTCACACATTGGCTCAACAGTTCATCCACATGGTCTCGTCCTGTGCTGGCCAGTCCCCTGAAGATGTTGCCACAAGATGGGTCAAGAAGGAAAAAACAATGATGTGATGGTCCAAAAACCCTTTTCTGTGGCCCCTTACAATCAACACATGGGTGGGGTTGATCTTGTTGACCAATGTCTGGCAATGTACCCCCACAGACGGCGTAACAAGAGGTGGTACATCCGTGTGTTTTTTCATTTTTTGGTGTGACTGTAAATGCCTGCGCCTCTACCTGAGTCTGGTTTGGAAAAGATGAAACATATAAAAAGTGGCACCCTCAGCAAAGCAAAAGAGGAAGACAGTGGACCCCACCCGTGAAGCGGAGAGCAGTCACCAAAGTAGTCCGTGAGGTCAGGTTTGGTACAGGATATCACTGGCCATAAACTCACCAAGGTGAAAAATGCAAACAGATGCCATGATGCTGCATGCACATGGAAGACAAATACATGCATGCATTGCTGTGTGCCACTGTGTCCTGGATGCTTTGCGAACTTTCATACAGCCTAAGTGTGATGAACAGAGAAGTGTTCTGAGATGCAGAGACTGATATCAGTTTGTGTTTTCTTCCACATACTAATATAAAGGCTTGGTAATACTGTCCTGCATCCTTATAGAACTGTGGAGACAGTAATGTTTCTCCTGTTGGGTTGGTTTGCAAATGTAAGCAGTTATGAGTGTCATTGGTTTTCTTATTCAGGCCTAAAAAAAATCTGCCTATAAAATGTTGGAATTTCCCCAAAAAATTGTTGAAATGTTTTTCAAAGCATAAAAAGAAAACAGAGCTTGTATATTTACAATAGAACATAAGTTAATTCATTTTTACAGTAAGTTCACAATGTTTAATGTTGAGGGCTCAGGCTGTAGTCCACTGGATTGGACACATTCATGCACATGTCCTGAAGTTGACCAAGGTTTCATAATTCATGCATCAGAGGGTTAATAAAGTCTTTGTAAATGTATTTATAAACCTGCCTTCTGGTATAATCAATTTAGGCAAGTTTTATTAAGGGCTTGAATACATCTGATGAATTGCATGGTTTGTTGGTAATAGTATAGTAAGCATCTTATTATGTTATAGCTTTTATATTCTGTTATAGCTTTTTTGTTTATTGGCTTATAAAATATCTATAAATGATATTTAATGATTTATAAGTGCTTATAAACAAATGACTACTGCTTATTATACCCTTATGTGTGTTTCAGGTGCTGGACGACCCTGCAGAGGACAATCTTCACATGGGTAAGTGATGCTTCTTTACTGTCCAAACCCTATATCTCCACATCCACCTGGAGGCAGCCATCGAAATGAAGCATCAGTATTCAGATCCGTGTGGCCCTGGGCTCGCTCAGAACACATTATGCACAAAGTTTCCATCAGGTCACCTCCAGGACACCGTAGTTAGTGTGAAATGTCAAACTCTTTATCTCCTTAATGTGCTTCTTAATTAAACGATTGTGGAGATAGAGTGGTGATAAAGTGGTGCTGATGCTGGGGGCTGTGGCTTGCGGTGAAATAACTGAGTTTATAACAGTTTTGTCTCTTTTTGTCTTTTGTCTTGACAGTGTTTGAGCTGATGCGGAAGGGGTGAGTCAAGAACACGTCTGTCTTTAATAATTCAACCAGCGTTTTCCTTCTCCACCTTCCTCTGCACCATCTTCCCCTCTATCCTTCACTCCAGCCTCCTCTCTCCACTCTCTCCATCACTATCTCTAATCTCTCTCCCTTTCTTTCTCTCTCTCTGTCTTTTCCCTCACTCTCCTTCTTTCACCATAACTCTCTGGTCTTCTTTTCTTTCTCTCACTATATCTTTTTCTCTGTCCCATTTATCCCTCTCTTCCATCTCTCTCTCTGTCCTCTGTGTCTCTCAGTGTGTGTCTTCCCCCCCCCCCCTCTCTCTCTCTCCTCTCTCTCTCTCTCTCTCTCTCTCTGTCTCTCTCTCTCCCTCCGGCCCGGGGGCCGTATGCGGCCCTTTAAACCTTTTAATCTGGCCCGCCGAACTGGAATAAATTACAATAATAAACCTTGTTGATGTTTTATTTTTCATGCATTTCCGGCGTTTCCCAGTAGATGGCGCACTATATATACATTGAGGTGCGGCGTATTATGTTGGCCGCTATGCTTTATGGGAAAGTGTTCTTACAGGAGTTATTCGGACCATGACTGAAGTAGTGGTGTTCAAGATATAAGGCTGCACTGCTTCCATTTTGAGTTGGTAGAAATCAAAGATTAAAATTATTTGGATGTTATGAAGTAAGTCTCAATGCATGGAATGTTATGAGAGTCTTGTCATTACGCGTGTAAGTGTGTGAACGTGTGACATTGTGGTGTGGGCCCTATATCGCAGTAAACCTTACTACACAATTCACCTTTACCTGTGGTATGCAGTAGAGCAGGTCTGCCAACTTTTCATGTGTTCTGAATCTTTCGCGGTAATGTTGTAGCGTGTAGTGCGCTTCCTACATAAGAGTAAATATGAATATAATGCAGCCAAGCTCTTAACATGTCATGCCCTGTGTTCTTTCCGGCCCTTCAGTCAAATTTTAGGACCCTATGTGGCCCGCGAGCCAAAAAGTTTACCCACCCCTGCTCTAGCCTCTTTCTTTGCTTCTCACTCTTCCATCTCTCTCTCTCTCTCCATTACAGTGACTCTTTCTCTCTTCTCTTCTCTTTACTCTCTCTCACTCTTTCTCACTCGCTCTCCTCTGTCTCTCTACCCCCTCTCTCCTCTCTCCATTCTCTCCTCGGTCCCTCTCTCTATCCTCCTCTCTTCCTTCCTCAGCATTTCTCTCTATTCTCTCTCTCTGTGTCTATCTCTATTTCTCTGTCTTTTAACCTTTCTCTTTGCTTCTCACTCCTCCATCTCTCTGTCCCTCCATTACGTGACTCTTTCTCTCTTCTCTTTCTTAACTCTCTCTCCTCTCTGTCTCTCTACCCCCTCTCTCTCTACTCTCTCTCCACTCTCTCCTCTGTCCCTCTCTATCCTGCCCTCCTGTCTTCCTCCCTCTGCATTTCTCTATTCTCTCTCTTTCTCCTGTCCGTCTCTCTCTATTCTCTTTCTCTCCTTCGGCATTTTGACAGCTAGTGTTTGCTCCACGCTTGGTCTTCAAAGAGATTCTTAATGTTCTTAGGTTTTCACAGTTATTTCCAATGGCAGTCTGCCCTGTCAATGTTCTCGTGCGCAAATGTTTCTTCTCACATCACAAGAAACATTTTTATCTTGTAATGTTCCAAGACCCAGCTCCTCAGTGACTGTGAGTGTGTGGATGTTAGAATTTTACATATGTCAATAAAAAGGTGTAATTAAGGTTTTAACAAGGAAAGCATATTTTGTTTTCCTTGGATTAGAAATACAAAAATTATAGTTTGTTCTTGTGGGGAGTGATTAAGCTCTTGATTAATACATGAAGTTACATAATATGACTTTAGACATTATTCAAGTTATACGGCTATAATTGCCCTTTAAAGATGTTTTAGCATACGGGAAAATTTGATTTTAAGCAGTTGTATTGGAATAATTGTTTATAATAAATGTTAGCCTTATCCTAAGTTGTTCTGGTGGAGGGTCCACCACCTGCTTGTCTCCATGGAGATGTTATTGTTTGGTCTTGAATGTCCCATACTGTGTAGCATTTCAGGCAATATGACGGAAGCAGAAGCAGATATGAGACCCTCCACCAGAAAATGTACACAGTGCACCTTTACTTAATTCATACTGAACAAATAGTTTATTAAGAATGTTTCAGGCTTAGATACTACTTAATTAGCGGGTTAGGGTTAGGGCATTACTAAGCCTGAATCATTCTTAATTTGGTGATTATTTATACTTCCATCCATCCATTTTCTTACGCTTATCCGGGGCTGGGTCACAGGGGCAGCATATTAAGCAAGGACTCCCAGACTTCCTTCACCCCAGACACTTCCTCCAGCTCCTCCTGAGGCGTTCCCAGGCCAGCTGAGAGACATAGTCCCTCCAGCGTGTCCTGGGTCTTCCTTGGAGTCTCCTCCCGGTGGGACATGCCCAGAACACCTCCCGAGGGAGGCGTCCAGGAGGCATCCAGAACAGATGCTCGAGCCACCTCAACTGGCTCCTCTCAACGTGGAGGAGCAGTGGCTCCACTCCGAGCTCCTCCCGTGTGACCGAGCTCTTCACCCTCTAAGGGAGTGCCCAGCCACTGTGCGGACTAATTACAGTGTAGTTATTATAAAGTAGTTATAAAGTAGTATTTTCCCCAAGACAAGATTTAAATCCAGATGCAATCATAAGACTGGGCAAAGATTTGCACTTATAGCTCTGTCTAATGGCTTGTGTTATACCTCAAACTATTTTATGTTATTTTAATGATGTAATTCTGGAGCGATGTTGGTAAATAACACTGGGTTGCAACATTCCATACTATACTATGAAGCTTTTTGCTGTAGTGTAGCATGTCTTTGTCTTATACGTGTTGAGTTGACATGTATTCTGCCTTTGTGTAGCTGTGAGAGATGTTCTTTTTAAACTTATATGTGCTCCTCTGACTCCAGTCCAGTGATGGAAGTGCCCTCGGACAAGCCTCTGTCAGAAGAACAGGCCCGCCAGTATTTCAGAGACGTCATCCTCGGCATAGAGTATTGTAAGTATCTCCTCTGGTGAGCAGTCGCCTTTTAATTTACTTATTATGTAGTGTGTGTTAGACTCGCAAAATAAACATGCTAAAATAAAATGCTAATACTACAAAAATTACTAAAATTATCATGGACATGGACGTGTTTGGACTAGACACAGTTTAAAGGTCCTATATTACACTAAATTGACTCTTGTGAGCTTGAAGCCATGTTATAATGTTGTTATCTCATCAAAAGCATAGCTGGTCTTGTGTTTTTTTTCATTCACACATGTTTGAGTAATCCTAGTCTGTCTTCACCTCCCAAAGATCAAAATGCTCTGTGTTTTATTACCAAAAGCCAACCACATTCTGCAACTTGGCAAGAAAGAATAAACATCTTATCTTCATCTGGTTGAAAATATAATGAAAGTCTCAACATACAACAGAATTAATCATTTGATTAGTCGACAAATTAAACAAAAATAGCACTGACTAGATAATTACTAATGTAATCATTAACTCCAGCCCTGGTGTGTGTTAATTTTTGCATTTGGCTGCTTCTGCTCTGTTCACCTCACCAGCCTGTGCTCAGCTGTGGCTCCAGCTGTTTGCTCATTTTGTGGAGAGAATCTGTTTGACAGGCCCAATCGTTACTGATCAATTCTGCCTCTTTCTCTGCCTCATGCTGCATCTCCAAACATTTAAAACCACTAAAAACTCTTGATTTCAGTGCTTCTCTGTGACACTGGCTATGGCCCATATACTTTGTCTTTCACACTCACTTAGTGTTAGTGTTTTGCATCCATTAAACGGAACTAGATGTTATGCAAATACATGTAAATGCATAGGTTTAGCTGGTACTGTCTCCTGTTCCTGACTTTCCACCTACTTACCTGTAGACTGGAGGTTTACACATGGTGGACTGTGACCTTAATGATGTACTGTTTCACTGTAGTAGAATTGACAAAGCAGGTGAGACATGCACACTGATGTTTATTGTAAGCGGTAAATAACAAAACATGTTACCACAATACGGTGATTGAATTTTTGGACACTACAGATGGAAACATTTTAATATGAAGATCTACTCATGTACATTTGGGATGAGTAGGCAAAAAAAGCTGGCTATCTGTAAATTATAATTATTTCTAATCATTGTTTAATTGGGTGTTAAGGGTTTTGTAAGAAAAAAAAAAAGAGCTTATTGTAAGAGAAGAGCTAGTCCCAGTCCCTAATTAGTTAAGTGTTGAATCTGAAGATCTTGGCAATAAACTCTGATTAACTGAAGATGTTCGTTTTCACAACATTCTTACATCAGCAGCAGCAGTCAGGCCAAGGTCAGAGAGATGATTTTATAGACAGCAATCATGTTTTATGCTCCAGTCTGTGTCTGTGTCTGTGTGGCTGCAGGTAGATGCCCTCTAAACAGACTCCTGCAAACCAAGTACACAGTCAAAACCACACACTTTATAAACATTCTGTGGTATAAACCCCATATTATTACAACACATCCATTACAGCAGAAATAATTCTAAGGAAAACTGGCTTACACCACAGCCTTTTTCACAGGAACAAAGTCACTCTTAACATTACTGCAGAGTCAAAGCTGAATTATTTAAGGTGCACTGTGTAAATTCTGGTACAGGCCCCACCACTTCAACTCCATGTTGTGTTTTTTTTCCTGAAATGGTCGACAGTATGGCATTTAATTTAACTATCTCCATGGAAACAAGCATGCAACATCATCAGGCCAAGTTACAGGTCAGATCTCTGGAGAAGTGGAGCTGCTCACAATAATAATACATGTTTTTTGTGGTAGTTTTGAGAAATAAAAACGCATGTAATTGAATTAATACAAGATATATTTGTTTAAAGCCATACTGTGGAACATCCCAAGCAAAGCAATAACATCACCGTGGAGACAAGCAGATGGTGGACCCTCCATTACAAAAGTGCACCTTTAATGTTGTATAACATATTAAGTAAAAGTTCTATCTGTTTTAAACTAGTGCACTACCAGAAGATCGTCCATCGTGATATTAAGCCTTCAAACCTGCTGCTGGGAGATGACGGTCACGTGAAGATTGCAGACTTCGGCGTGAGTAACCAGTTTGAAGGAAATGATGCTCTACTGTCTGGCACTGCTGGCACGCCAGCCTTCATGGCACCAGAGACACTGTCCGACCAACGCAAGAGCTTCAGTGGAAAAGTACGTGGGCTAAAACTATCATGAATATCAATGAGCTGATTGTGTATTCATTTAAATGTGCATTGTGTAACTTTTCTGGTAGAAATGCATTTCTCCATGGAGATGTTATTGCTTTATTGGGAATCCTTCACTGTATGATATTAAGCCTTTCTATCTTCATGGAGACCAAATCAGACCAGTTACAGGTCAGATCTGTGGTGAGGCAACCCCACTCACAGTCAGAATGCCTGTTTTTCGAGGTATTTTTGAGCTATTTAATAACCTGTAATTTAATAAACGTAAAGTAGAGCTGTTTAATGCCACACTTTAGAACATTCCTGGCAGAGCAATGACATATCCATAGAAAGGGATGGATCCTTTATGTAGTGCACCTTTAAGAGAACAAATGATCCTGTGGTGTAAGCTCAGGTAGGTGGAAGCATAAATCTACATCTGAAAAAGAGAAATTGATTGAAAGATAAATTGAGATTTTCCTTTTTTTTCCCCTTTGGTTTACTAATCTAGAAAGTAAACTGTCATGGCAGGAATCAAATAACTGAATATTTCTATTTAGGGATAATATTACTGAAGATATATATCAACACATATTACAAGTTTTTGCACTTTATTTAGTTTGAATGCCAAATTTGAATAAGTATCATAATAGACCTATAGATAAAATACAAACAACTTTAAAACAAGAGTATGTGATTTTTTATTTTTATTTTTTGGTTTATTTTATAGTCCTGTTTTATGCGATACTTCAGCTACAGCATTTACAGGCCCATTTTGGCACTTGTCTGATGCATCAACCGAAAATCATAATTGAAATAAGAACAACAAATACTGAGATCATCATCTTTGTCAGTTTCGCCCACCCTTAGTCTCAATGTGCCTGAGGGTAAAATCCGCTGAACACCCATAATTAGCCTTTGTTCTGATCCCACCCTTACATCTTTACAATAGCTTCACCATCATAAACTGTGCAAAGACCATTTACCCCTCTCTCTGACTCATAAACCAGTGACATTCAGAGGAAAGAAAGACGCTCCTCCGCCTCCAGCCTTTTAAACATCCCACTTTCTGCAATCAGACGCAGTCAATTTCCTCCATCAATAGCTGCCTGAGGTGATGAATTTGGTCGAGGAAGGACCTTGTGTGCCCATAAACCGCTTGGCCAATAGAGAATATGTAACTGCAAAAGCCTCTGGGGTCTGAGAGTTGTTCAATTGTATTTGCTAAGAATCTTTTTCAGCCCAAGTGAATGTTTATCCTGAAAAGACTTTTTATTTCTCCTGCTTTCTTGCAATTTGTTTTTGTCAATAGCAGTTTTGGAGAATGCTTGAATATATTGTGCAGCTTTCGAGGCAACATTGTTTTCCATTTGATGTTAAAGTGTAAAACGGAAGTCTGCAATCTCTTTATGTAAGCAGACAGAAGAGCAAGAATGAAACAAGAACGTGGAGAATGCCTGCAAACCTTTTTCCTCTTGATTTGGATGTAAGAGCTGACAAAAATTCATCGAGTTAATGTTACTTTGTATAAGAACTGAAATTTCTTAATGGTGTACTATGTAATATTCAGGTGGAGGGTCTGCTATCTGCTTTTCTTCATGGAAATGGTATTGCTTTGTTTAGAATGTCCCACAGTATGGCATTAAACTGATCTATTTCCATGAGCCCATAATGCCTCCAGCCCAAGTTACAGGTCAGATCTGTGGAGAGATGAGCTCACTCACTGCAGAAATGCAAGTATCTTTGAGCAGTAAAACATCTGTAATTGAATAAATGCAACATAGTTAATTTTAAAGCCATACTGTGAAACCTTTCAGGCAAAACAGTAATATCGCCATGGAAACAAGCATGTGGCGAACTCTCTACCACAAAAGTTACATAGTGCACCTTTAAGTTTAATTAAATGTTGCTCTTTCATGCAGGCACTAGACGTATGGGCCATGGGAGTCACGCTGTACTGTTTTGTCTTTGGAAAGGCAAGTACCTATACACACAGATTATTACAAAGATTATGTCATACACAACAACATGGCAGTTATTATTAGTAAAATAAGTGTGTGTTTTATGGTTAACACTTTTCTATTTAAGATTATATTTAGATTATAGAAGGCTGAAACGATTAAACAGAATGACTGTGACTTGTCGACTGCTTAAAGGTCCCATATTATGCTAGTTTTTGATCTACATTACGGTGTCTCCTCATCAAAAATATGCCCGGGGATGTTTTTAGATTTTTTCACACGTTTAACACACAAACCCTGCTTATTTAGTTTGCGTTCTACTTTAAAACACTCACTTGTGATGTCATGTGGTAATATAGAAAGTGCTCCACTGTGTTTTTAAATTCCATAAATCACTTCTAATTTTGAATACCTGTAGTCATTACACTTAGACCAACTTTACTGATTCACAAAGAAAATTATTTGGACACACATCACAACTCACATATCACAATATAATAATAACACGGATAAAAAATATATCTGGTAATAATACATTCTAAAAAAGTAGCAAAAATAGCAAGAGACTGATGTCAAATAAGGCATAATAATATAAATGTTCATGTACTAGTAAAAATAAAATATAGAAATATAGTAATACAAAATATACTATCTCAGCTATATAAAAGTATTTTGCTACAGTTTTTTTTTCTTTTTCACTTGGTGTTATTCCGAATATTGTTTCTTTTCTTTTGAATTGCATGGTGTTCGTACAAAAACTAGAAGACATAAATTAATGAATAGCAAACAAAACAACAAAAATAAACCTTGTAGTTACATGTCATGTTTTTTACACTATAATTTAATGCAACTCGGTGTAAAAGTATTCCAACTATTCTATATATAAGTATAAATATAAAATATATAATATATATATAAATATATATATATATATATATATATATATATATATATATATATATATATATATATATATATATATATATATATATATATATATATATATATATATATATATCATACACACACACACACACACACAAACACCTGTATTACTGTATTTCTGTATTTTATTTTTACTTGCACATATACCATTTTATAATTATGCCTTATTTAACACCAGTCTTTTTCTATTTTTGCTACTTATTTAGAATTTATTATTACCATTAATATTTTGTTATATTATGTTATGATGTGTTTGCTACTGTCATTTTATTCATTTTATATTGTGGATCAGCAAAATCTGAGTCTATTCAGAATACAGTAGGCCTACTCTGATTGGCCCATGTAACGGAACAAATTACAAAATACATTTTACTGCAAGTATTCAGTATTCTGTAACTAAATAGATTTTCAAAGTATTCTTCCCATCACTCTAGACTGCTTATAGATCTGTTGCTTGAATTGGTTTTCTCATGTTGCCTCGAGAGATGCTGCTTCTCCATCAGCTCCACAGTAATTCCTTAATTTTGTCCTTTCTCTCCTCTCTACCTGCAGTGCCCCTTTATTGATGACTACATATTGGCTTTGCACAATAAGATAAGGACCAAGCCTGTGGAGTTCCCAGAATCGTGAGTACATCCCCCGCCTGCTTCTTTGCCTCTAATAAAAACAGACAATAGAGGAGCTGCTAGTGCTACCCACAAGCACAAGCACAAGAAACTCTTCCTATCTGACTTTTTAAACAACTCTCAGTTCTTTGGGAGAAATGAATTGGTCTCTACAGAGCTCCAAATGTCACCTGCATCTAATCAAAAAATGTGTCAGCTGCTTGGTTACTGGCAACCTCTATTATTTCACTCTCCTCACCCCGACCCCAGAGGTTAAAGAAAAACATTGAGGTCTGTCTGGGTTTGTTATAAAGAGAAAGAAAGCCTGATGGGCAGGTTAAAGTTTGAGACAGACAAGGAGCAAAGGCTGTTATTAAAAGTACACTATGTAGCTTTTCCTTTGGAGGGTCCGGCACCTGCTTGTCTCCATGAAGATGTTACTGCTTTGCCTGGAATGTTCCATGGTAAGGCATTAAACTTATTTACCTCTATGGTTATTTGTGGAGAGATTACTCTGCTGTAAAAACACTTATTTTCCAAGGTGTTTTTTGCCAGTAAAACACCTGTAATTGAATAAATGCAAGATAAGTAAGTTTAATGCCGCACTGTGGGCTATTCCAAGCAAAGCTGTAACATCTCCACCAAATTTTTTAAGTCTCTATTATCCATATAATAGAGTCAACAATAATAAGTTTACAATAATAATTATTTAATGAATAGTTAAATTAAAGATGCTCACTTTTGATTTAGTTGAATGAATAGTAATAGTAATAGTATTGTGTAATCTAGTGGCAGTGTGTAATTCCAGTTGTCATGTAGAGCTGTTTAAAATCAGTAGAGTGCTGTGTAGATTGTGCATGTGCTGCCTGTGTCTGTAAAAGGCCATGTGAGTGATCCAGATGGGGTTTCCAGAGTCATAAAGTACATCTCAGGCTTAAGGGGATCATAAACAAGACAGGTAAGAATTTAAAGTGCAGCTGACTATGAACTGGGAGCATACTGGCACATTATGTACTTTAGGGTAAACATAATAATGAAACAAGGGACAAGAAACAAGTTTTCTCTTTTTTAGTTTTTTAGTTTTTCTGTATCACAATCTGTAAACTTGTAAGAAAGAGCTGTGTGCATCATTATGTGATGGTTTGTGATGAGAGCAGATTGGCTGTGCTTTGGTGATCCAGCCTGCTTTAATTTGTTTTCTGAAAAAGCTGTTCTAAAAATGTTTTATATTAAAATATTCATACATATCAGTAGAAGAAGTGAGAGTATGAAAGCGACTAACTACTGAAAAATGTAATTGTGTTACTTTTCTGGTAGAGGGTCAGTCAAATGCTTGTCTTCATGGAGATGCTATTGCTTTGTCTGGAATTTTTGTATCTTCATGGAGACCAAACCAGACCAAATTACTGGTCAGATCTGTGGAGAGGCATAATGCCTGAGTTTCTGAACTATAATTGAATACATACATTGGCGGCAGTAGCTCAGTTGGTAGAGCATTCGCCTACTGATCTGAAGGTTGGAGGTTCGAATCCAGCTCTCAACATAAACATCTCAGGTTGAGCGGTCAGATCCACTGACCCACAGGTTGGCTGGTGTGATTCCAGCTCCCACAGATGAATGCTGTCGTTGTGTCCTTGGGCAAGACACTTAACCCACTTTGCCCACAGTGTCTGCGTACACTGGTGTATGAATGTGTGTGTGAATGGGTGAGTGGTTCCTTGTTGTAAAGCGCTTTGAGTGCCTTGAAGGTGGAAAAGCGCTATAGAAAAATGTGACCATTTACCATTTACATGTAAGGTGCTGTGTAATGTCATACTCTGGAACATTCCATTCAAAAATTTCGCAACCAAAAGTTATGCAGTGCATCTTTAAATTTAGATGGACCTACTTTTTCTTTTCATTGTTTAAAAATCTGGTATACCTGCTTTAATTATCAATATCTCTCAAGCAAAACACATGATGTGTCTTTGTTATCTTTGTCTCTAGACCTGAAGTCAGTGAGGAGCTGCGGACTCTGATCTTACGCATGTTGGACAAGAACCCTGACACCAGAATCACTCTTCCTGAGATTAAGGTTTGTAATAAAATGTATAGTTTATTTTAGTATATTTTAGTTTTGCATCAATTAGTTGATTAAAAATTGGTTAAAACAGATGTTTTGCTGCAACTTTTTCAGTTTCGATACCAATTTCGATACAAAGCATTACGCATCTGCTGATACCCAGTGTATATTTTGGTCTTTTGAAAAGCACAATATAAATCCAATGGTTGATTAATTAGTAAGGGTACTAGTCGAACAATAAAACATTTAGTTTTATGGACTGAATCAGCACTGATTGATGAATTGACTAAACAACAACAGCCCTTAATTTATAGCAGTATATTATCTCCATTGAAGACATACAGGGGCCCATTTCAAGGTCTGGTGTGAGTGTGTCCCTCTCTGCTGCAGGGCATGATGAAACCTGCCTGTCCCAGCTGAGCTCAGAGCAGGACTCTGTATTAGTGACATTGGTCCCACTACACCCCTGAGTGATGAGTGTGCCTCTTCTCTCTGTGTTTTCACAAAACACAATCACACAGACCCTGGAGATGCTGTGTATATGGAACAGCACATAATTAGGCAGCACACAGTACTTACATACAATATATACATTTTTGTCTCTCAATAGAATATGCCTGTATTATCTGACAAAACACTGTTGTCTTTGTGAAACCTGCTCCAACACAACCACATTTCATCCATGTTTTTTGACCCTAACTGTCTTTTTACATATGCAAAGACCATTCTTTCACACCCTGTTGTTTATAGTATAGTGTTGTCTTCATGTCACACTGTCTAAACTGTATTGTGTTTGTGGATGTATAAGTTATGCTTTAAAGTCCATGTGCCAGATTTTTTTTGAGCAAAATTTGTGTTGCCCCAGTGCAGATTTATTTTATAAGCAGCTCTTGAGGTCAAAATGAGTCCACTGTGTACTGTCTGCTGTTAATTATACAGCTTTTTATTGTCTGAGAATCAGGAAGTTTGCAATTTGCCTGCTATTTGCTGTCATGACAAAAATCCCCTGTGTCGTCTGAAAGTTGTGAAACACTTTTAAACTCATCATAGTGAATAATTTGGATGCTAGGAATGCATGAGGTGAGGTATAACTTTGAACCACTGCAAAACCATTTAAAATGTACTAGAACTATTTTTCAGTTCCTTTGTAAAAATCAGATACAACACCTTTAACTGTTAAAAAAGAACATCAGAACATAAGGTCAAAGCTAGTATTTGATTTATACATACTTTTTTCTAAAAGTCACAACTTGCCGATAAGCAAACAAAAGCCCCAGAATCTCTGTAGACATTTTAAATCAATAAGGTGAGAGAGAAACTTTGACAAAGATATACTTGGGCAGTTTGATGCATTACATGTTTCAATCTTTTCCATGTCTTTTCAAATGAGTTTTTGTGCAAAACCACAATTAATCAAAACAAATGGCTGCCTGGCTCGAATAAAGAGAAGCCATTCATAAATCTATGCCAGCTTTAGTGCAGCAGAAAGAGCGATGGAAGAGGGGGATCATAAATAAAACATCTTGGCAAATTTAATACGTGAAGTAGGGTTTAGTATTTAGTATAGATTTTCAACTGACTTAAAACATGTATCTTATGTACACAAAGCAGCCATAACTTGCCAACTAATAAAACAAGATACAATGCTCAAGACGAACATTGATTATTTCTTATCAGTTTATCTAGTAATATGTATATATATTTTTTATTGATTAATCATTCGATTGCAGATGAGGGAACAGGCCAGTGCTTAGAGCACTCGCCAACCTGAAGGATGGAGGATTGATTTCTTCTCACTGTGTTGTGTCCATAGGCAAGACACTTCATCCACCTTGCTTAGTATGACTGTGATGTGAGTGATTGGCAGCCTGGCTTCCATCACTCAGTGGCAGTTGTGACGACAACAGTAGTGGTGGTATGCCTCCATTAAGAGACTTTGACTAGCCTATAAAGCTCAGTGCCAGGCTTTACTGCTTATTTGTATTAAAATATGAGGACCTTATATTTTGTGTTTAGGTCTTAATCACTATGACAATGGTCTAATTTTTTCATTATTCTGAAACCCCTGGATAGTTTTTAAAGCTGTAATGTAGTTGTCAAGCCACTCATGTGTGTTTCAATTGGTCCAATGGGGTTTGTCTGATTTTTAAAACATCTTTCCTCAGCATATTATATGTCTATTTATTCATTGGCTTCAGTTTCCCGTTATAGCTAGCATTATGAGTACTTTTCACTGTTCAGATATTAGTATTTTTTTTATATATTCTTAAAGGTGTTTCATCATTCTGAAACCCACGGGTAGTTCTGGAAATGCTATAACTCTGCCATGATATTTTGGCCACTGTCAACATCACTCAAATGTCTTTATCCATAGACTGTATAAAAAGTGGACTAAGCCAGTGTGACATCACTCATAGCGTTCGGCTCCTTTCAAATGAAGCTCACAGTCCTAGTGTTTATAGGGGCGAATCTGGAGCCAAGTTCCATGGCAAAATAGCAATGTAAAAACACCACAATCATGTAAGAGCGGGTTAATATGAAAATGTTAAGATCAAAATGGCGAAGCTCATAGCAACAGTTACAATTTTTCAATGTAAAGTCAATTGGAAACAAGGTCAGTGGAGCCTGGAAGTGCTCTTATGCTCACTTCCTATTTAAAACCCGGCGGCTAGCGGGTTAGCTGTGTCCATTTATATATACACTCTATGGTCTTATCCTATCCACATGTGTTTCAGATGGACCAATGGGTGACGCGTGCTGGAACAGACCCTCTGCCATTGGAGGAGGAACACTGCACTGTGGTGGAGGTGACCGAGGAGGACATCCAGAACTCAGTGAAGTTTGTGCCCAGCCTGTCTGCAGTGGTAAGAAACCGCCTGACCTCCAATAACAAACCAAAGGATGCCAAGTAGGAGGGACATAATTAAACTGCACCTGCTAGGGTAATAAATTATAGGGTGCTTGTGCTTCTAATTGAGAGAAGGACCTGCTTTCCTCTAATAAACTGGACAGTCAGACATTCATGATTTGCATGCATTTCCATATTACACTATTATATACACTTTCCTCATCACAAGCATACCTGGAGTTCTGTTTTGTTTCATTCACACATGTTTAACACACAAACCCTGCATATTTCTTTTCTCAAATTGAAAACACTCTGTTCCACCTTGTGATGTCATGCTGTAATACAGGAAGTGCTTCTCTGTGTTTTTAAACTCCATACACCTTCACTTGAATAATTTGGATGATGTAAATCCTGGAACTGCCAATCTCTACTGAATAAAAGCTAAAACGTAGCGACATAGCTGTAAACTTAAAATACCACTACATGACATCAAAAGGTGGAACAGAGCATTGTTTTGAGGACAGTACCAACATTATAACATGACTTAAAGGTTAAAGGGACAACTTTGTGTAATATAGAACCCTTACCAACAGCTGTGGAAAGTAATTAATTACAAATACCTCTACAAATACAATTAAGGGCCTGTTTACATGAGAACGCAAAATATTTTATCGTTACTGTGTTTTGTTTAGACAGTGACAGCGTTTTTGAGGCTTAAAAACTACAAAATCTGAAACCACCCTCCAGAGTGGAAAAGTTGAATACGCTCCACTGTAGCATTTCCGTCTACACTGCCCAAGACGCAAACTCTGGTCACATCTGCTCACGTCACATACACATTTACATCACATACAGTACACAGAAACCTGGCATGCATACCCAGTCGAATTCCACACACTTTTGCGTCACCGTATGCACACAAAAAGCACTCGTCTAAACGTGGAATAAAAAGTGAAGACGTGACGCCACTTTTACGTCTTCTGTTCAGACCGTCATCATATAAACGTAGCCTAATATATATTTTTAACATTGGCTTGTATTTGTAATTGAAAACAATTTTACCCATTTAACTGTAATTAGCAGCATTTAAAATCATATGAGTTAGAAGTCACAGTTGTAAAAATCCCTGACAATACCGACAGACACACATTATCAAAATGTGTTGTTTTGCTTTAACCGTGACCGTATGCTTTCACATTTAAATGGAACAGAAATTATATATGCAGGACTGTATATACCGCTAATTAGCAGTTGGAGCCGTAATTGCTTTACACCTGCATTATCTAAAAATGGAGAGCTTCATAAATATTCAGAAAGTAGAAACTGATTGAGGTAGTAATGCCATTTATAGAGGCTGTTTCCTGCACACAAATATTTACAATCCACTAGTCAATTTTGATATTAAAGATCTTATATTATGCTATTTTCTTTTCTGATGTTGTTTCCTCATCCAAAACATACCCGGAGTTGTTTTGTTTCATTCACACATGTTTAACACACAAACCCTGCACATTTAGGCTGTGCACTGTTCCTCCTTATGATGTAATTAAGTGGTAATACAGGAAGTGCTCCCCTGTGTTTTTAAAATCCACACACCTTCACTAGAATCATTAGGATAATTTCACTCCTGCAATTCTCAATCTCTAGCTTTGGAGACGTAAACAAACTAATAAAGGGTCACAAATGTGTGAATGAAACAAAACACAACACCATGTATGTTTTGATGTGGTAACAGCATTCTAAAATGACTATTAGTGTCAATTTTGCATAATATATGAGACCTTTATGGAATAGGCTTGATTCTTGACACAGATTTTAATACTACAATTATTAAATAAACTATTTTTTTTTTACAAAGTAAAATGTCATATTCATCACCAAATAGTGAATAAACAGTAGTTTCTTTGTGATACAATGTGATCTTATACTAGTAAAGCTCACAGACCATCCTATACTATTCAGGAAAGCTACAATCTGATCCTGTTAGTGTTATCAGTTCTTGATCAGCTGAGTATCTAGTTTCAATAAATGTTTTTAGTATTGTTTAGTATTTGGTTATTAATACTTTTGACATCCCATACTCCTACCCTAGCATTTGTTCCTATGTTTCAGATTTTGGTGAAAGCGATGCTGAGAAAGCGCTCCTTCAGTAATCCTTTTGAGTGTCCAAGCAGGAGGGAGGAGCGCTCGATGTCAGCCCCTGGCAGCCTCCTCATGTAAGCGCACAGTGTCCAGGCCCCATCTGGCTCTCCACCTCCACACAACACCACACAAAACCACACATTTGGTACTTCTTCCAAAACACAAACACAGCCCACGGATCCAATCATCAGTGATCTCCTCAGATTCTGCCTGAACAATGTTTCACACTTGTGTCTCCTCTCTGCTGTATCAGGTTAACTAGCACGGGTTCGCGAGGCAGCAGCTGTTGCTTTTTGTTGCCATAGCACCGTAATTCATTCTTTAATTGTGTGCGCCCGGGCTTACCTCTTTTATAAGTGTTTCTTTGTGTGTTGCTTTCAGACTTAAAAGGTTTAGAAGGATACATACAGAGACATTGAAAAGGACTGGAAGAGTGTAGTGACCTCCAATATTTGTTTGAATCAAATGTATTGCATAGAAAGATTGTACTGATGTTGAAACTCTTCTTAGTTTTGCACTGTTTCTTAGTGTCACGTTTAGCTTTGATATGGGTGGATCTAATTCCCCTATGTGCTAGTTTCAAAGCACATTTTCATCCTCAGCATTGGGTTTCTGTTAGTTTGAGAGCTTAGAGTTATACAAGGTGAATGTCGTGCTGTTGTTGTTGTGTATAACAACACTGACCCCTGCTGGACAAAGATATTCACTAGTGTTTGGTGTCTCAAAGCCATTCACAAGGACATGATGTGAATGTTTGATGAAAGATGTTTAATTAGACCCAGATGTGTTTTTGTGTAGTTTGATTTGAGATTTGAGCTGTAGAGGGTCGAATAAGTAACTTCTAAGACTCATCATGGATTTTAACTAACTTTTGTTTAGTTTTGCATTATTTTGTCAGTGATTTCAATATTATAGTTTTATGTAATATTTTCAATATCAATGTATCATCATATATGTAATTGGGACAGGCCTATCCTTAATCTTAGCTACCTGTCACCAAACACATATTGTTAAAGTGCATTGGTAGGACCCAGTCTGCCCGAGTAACTACAAACATGACCTTTGCCCTTTTACCTGTGACCTCTCTTCTTTCCCACTTGCTGCAGGGACTCATGGCCTTTCCGGCCATCTTTAAAACTGCACCCTTCATTAAGGTAACCTACGTCCCCAGTGCCATAGAGTCATGTGGCGATGTGGTCCTTTCAGTATCTGTGCTTCCATTTGCTTCTGCTTCTGTCGTAAAAATGCCAAGCTGCCATTTTGCTGAAAGACATTTTGCCGTGTCCCTGCCACTGTCTCCGGACGCAACAAATCAATCCTTGTTTTTAGCCGTCATCAGTTGAACCTGGATGCTGTGAGAAAAGTATAGACTGACATTACACAGTTTTCCTTTGTCCTTTATAGAAAAACCAGTACAGGAGACAGTCCTCGAGAAGGCGAGCTGGAGGACCTCCATGAGGACGAGCCTTCATCCTGAGAACCTTCATCATCATCAGCCTTAATGAGTGACCGGGTCTGACTCTGCTTCCCCTTTAAAACCTGTTGCTCGTACCACTGTGCTCTCATCTACACATCTGTAATAGACACTAAACATCTTGTGCTGGCATTTATAATTTCACTCAGCCTTGAACTCTACATCACAACATCTTGGGGTTATCACGTCTACTTCTTCAATATCAAGATGGCTGTTTGCATGCTTCCTGTTTGCTCTGAAAATACATAACTTGGTTTGGAAAATGTTGCCTCTACAGATGTTTTTGAACCTTGCAAACACTTTATTATCTTTGATGAAATACAGGGCTTTACTTTGCTATTTAATATTGTACATAGGTGTCTTGTAAATGATAAATGTTGTTGTTGTTCCTTTTGTTGCAAATGTGCCATTCTTTAGAGACGTGTAAATTATTGAACTCCAATGAAATGAAGCAGGGAACGATTAAGATGTCAAACAGTCACACTTTTTTTTTCTTTTTTTTACTTGATTTTAATTTATTCTGCAGCATTTCAAAACCATGTCCTTTATGCCTGACAATATTACTGAATGCATTTAAAAGGTGTCAAGTGCAGCAAGATTCAAATGAGATAAAATATAAAGTGGTTTTCATATTTTTCTAATTATTACTTGGTTTGGTGAGATAATATCTGCAGTAAAGAGTTATCATAGTTTTACATCAGTTAAGTAGCAGTGTATGGAAAAAATATGAGCAGAAAAGTCCAATCCACAAATGACCTCTATAAAACAAATCTTTCAGACAGTTTAAAGATGTACTACGTAACTTTTCGGTTGGGGGTCTCTTACCTTTTTGTTTCCATGGAATTGTCATTGCTCTGCTTGGAATGTTCCACAGTATGACATTAAACTGATTTATCTTGCTTTTCAGTAAGGTATTTTCTTCTGTGAAAAGGGGCAACTCTCCACAGATTTGAATTGTAAGTAGTGTAGAGTAGTGCTGTAACCTGCTTGTTCCCCTCGTAATAGATAAACATGTAATTATATTATGGAAAATTTTAGACAAAACAATGACATTTCCATAGAGACAAGCCGATGGCGGACCCTCTACTAGAAATGTTACACAGTGCCACCTTTTATATGGCTATGTATTATCACGGTACTATTGTGGTAGATGAGTTGCACAATCTCTTTTGTGTATTGAGTGCCATAATTGTTTGAAAAAAGCATTTAAATGTCATTGTGATCAGGGCTACAGCTGCAACAATATAAAACAATATAAAACATAGACCCTTACTCTACTGCGATCCAGAGTGTGGCTGATTAGAAACTGGGACCTGCTTTGCTTTGCTTTTCCTCCATCAATCTTAACTCGCTCTGCTCCAGCAAATGGTGCCACCAGAGGACGCAGAGGACAGGCCTGTCACAATAACACATTTTGCAGTTCAATATTTTGCTGAAGTAAATATAGACAATAAACGATAATATTTAAACTAATTTATGCCACTGACACAAAAACCCTAGAGCAGATTTAAACCTCTAAAGACTATGCTAAATCTACAATATTGTTAAAAAATCATGAGCTGCAATAAATAAACAGCAGAATGAAACTCTATAGAGCTCCTGCACTGTGACTAAATCTAACGGGTACGCACCAATGAATAGCACCAAGTCCACTTTTGGAGTTTTTTTTAAATCATAGACAATTTACTTTAAAATTAGTGACTTTTACCTGGCAAGAGTGTTATTTTAAAGTCTAGTATAGACTATAGATCGTGTAGATTTTGCCTTTAACTCTGCAATATCTGGGCATCTGGTTTACTTTTCAACTTCTTTTATCCTCAAAAAGGTCCCTGGAGATATGTGTGAAAAAATGTTAAGATAAACAATAATATTGAAACTAATTTATGCCACTGTCACGATCACCCAAGAGCAGATCTAAAACCACAAAAACTGTTCTAAATCTACAAGACAGTTTAAAAATCATGCAATCAATAAATACCAAAATGAAACTCTATAGTAATAAAAGTTATCCATTTAACCATCTACAGCTTAAATCTTATCATATAGACAAAAAATAAGCACAAATTTCCCAGTTATTTGAAGAAAATATACACATAATAAAATATAATCCAGATATATATATATATATATATATATATATATATATATATATATATATATATATATATATATATATATATATATATATATATATATATATATATATATAATATAATTTATTTATTATCATGGCAGACCTAAATGTGTGGATGGATAAATAGGAAGATACTTTGCGTATAGATATCAAGCCTCTGTTTTGAGAGCTTTATATTCCTGCACATATGCATACAATCAAATATAATAGAGAATGTTTATAACTCAAGGTGGGAAGAACGTAACTGTTCCTGTTTTGTAAATATCTATGCTATGTATGTTTTCGACTCTGGGTTCATGATTTTTTTAATTTTTATATAAAGATAAGAAAGATAATGCAATGTATTGTGTGAGATAACTTAATGAAGGGCTTTAAAACCAAAAATGGGAAATATAGGAAAGGTGGCTGTATGGTTTAGAATCTTTTTTTTTTTTTTTATACTGCCACTAGCTTTAACTTTATATATACTCTGCCAGTCAAAAGTTTGGACACACCCTCTCATTCAATGTTTTTTTCTATATGTTTAATACTTCTCCCCATAGCCTCCTTTTGCTTTGTCGAAAAATATTTAGTAGAGTTATTTAAATTTTCTTTACTACATAATTCCAGGTATTTTGCTTCATATATTAGGTGGTTTATGTTTCTAAAATCTAGGAAGTAATTAACATAAAGAGAAAAAAAAACATTAAATGAGAAGGTGTATCCAAATTTTTGACTGGTAGCATACACTCATGTGCAATAAGGTGCATTATTTGTTCATTCCATTTTTCAGAGTGATTAAAGGGCCTGTATTATGGTATTATCTGACCTATGTAATAATGTTGTTTCCTCATCAAAAACATACCTGGAGTTGTGTTTTGTTTTCTTTCATACGTTTAACACGCAAACTCTGCAACACTGCTCCACCTTGTGATGTCATGCAATAATACAGGAAGTGCTCCATTGGGTTTTTAAACACTATACATTGTCACTCATCATTATTATTTGGATAGTTTCAGCCCTGGAATTGACAATGTCTACTGAATTGAAGGTAAAAGGAGTTGTTACCTACCGCTGCATGACATCACAAGGTGAAACAGCATTTTGAACAGACTAATACTAACAGACTAATAATAAAAGATTACTCAAACATGTGTGAATGAAACAAAACACAACTCCAGGTATGTTTTTGAGGAAGTAACAACAGTATGACATGGCTTAAAGCTCACAAGAGTCAATTTTGCATAATACAGTATAGGACCTTTTAAGGAGAACTATGGCATCAAATGTACATTGTTTATAACTGTAAATATATATATAATTTAATTTCAAGTCTGATTGCCTGCCAAGACCTTGTAAACTGTGTCTGGATGTGCGCTGATAGCTGGCCTTTTCTTTGTTTTGACTCTGTGGTGTGTATCTGCATGTCGCCGAATATGAATGATGTTTTCACAATGAAGCTCGAGACGTTCTGATAAACTGTGCTCCTGCTCCGGCTGCTTTGGGTTTTTACATAATCCTTTCTACGCATTTCCATAAAACACCAGGGCACTTTTACAGCATCCTGATTTTGGAGTTGTATATTATAAACGGAATATGTCAAATTAAAAGAGCTGATTAATCTCCATGAATAGGAACAGCCAGTACTATTTGTTTTATTCATTTGGTTGAGATGATAGATTACTTTCTTGATTTATGAAGCACTTTACGTGGATTGTTTACATGTTGTACCCACTTAATATGAGTTTCACTTAAGATTTTCATATACTATTCTATATGGTCAATGTAATATATGGCGAGCAAACTCAAGGTCTCACCCTGTACTAAGCAGTGAAGAATTGTATAAAACTGAAAATTCAATTAGAGACTTGCAGAGGTCACAGTTTGTGACTGTCCAAGTGTCAAAATAAGAACTTTCGGGTTTAGCTTTTGTTCCCCTGATTTGGAGAAGGTTTAAAACACAATAGTCCAATACGGCTGATGTAATGAGTAAAATACATCACCATTTATAGCCTATGTAATAGTTTGGTAGTACGAAATGATGAGTGTTAACACATATTACACGAAAATTTGGACTAATCCTGGAGCTAAACCTGGAATAAAGCAGAACTAAACCTTGGACAAGACCTGGATTAGATTTGGATGACTAGATCTGGACTAGACCTGGAGTAGACCTTGTTTGTATCAGGACTAAACTGGCCTCAAACCAGGACCAAAGTGTGACCAATAATTGTCCTTGCAACAAATAAAAATACCCAGCACACAGTCATAGTTAGAGGGGCGTCAAGCGTGTTTTCAGCCTTGAGTAAAACCTTGAATTTCATTGAAAAATTACTTACTGTGTTGTCTTTGCTGTATTCATCATCAGGGAGTGTGCATTAAAAATGTGAAGTCTCCGTTGCCTGTGTGTGTGTCATTGTCTTATATACTCTTTTCTGAATGTTCATCTGTCTCTAATACTTAAGGAATGCATTGTAAATATGTACCAATATCTGAAGGAGGCTATTTTTTGCATGCTTTTGTACACTAGGCAAAATAAAATATAGCAAAACAACAAGACTTGATTGTGTTTTCTTTATAACCACAAAAATCATTTTATTGTACCGTTTGTCAACAATAAGATCTAATTTTGCACAATGATGAGGTTCAGTGCTTTGTAACTGTCCATTCATCCACACACAGCTTTATCAGTCCATTCATCCACACATAGCTTTTAGAGCGTTACAGTAAACATGTTACACCCAACGAAAGAACAACAAAAGTGACTACACCCAAAAACTACACAGCGTCAACTTCTATTGGCGATTATCCCAGCAAAAAAGAAAAGTAAAAGAGATGCAGTCCCTGGGGCCAGTCTTTTCAAGTTCATGTGCATAAAATTCATTGGTTGGATATTCCTGTAATCTGTTTGTTATTCCTGGAATCGTCCATAGTCTGGATTGAGTGGTCTCTGGAGGAGGATGCAGGCATTACTTGTGGTGTACCTTCAAAGTGGCTCTGGAATTTGTCAGGAATGCTTTCATGTCATTGCTAAAAGGTAGAAAATAAAGGAAATAAAGATTCAAACAATGCATTGTAAGAACATTATCAAATGGTAATAAACTGTAATTACCCTGAGGTTTAAATATATCAAATGATTTCTGAATTCAGCCCACATCAAATGGGAAAGTTATTGTATATGATAGTTTGTTCGTTTAGATGCAGAATGACATTGTTCTACATTTTAATAGTAATTTTAAAAATATTTAAATAGGGTGACCACCTCAAATGGTAATAAAAGTGATACAATTTGAGCAATGTGGTGGGATAAGATGGACATTAAACTTATACATGATAACTTCAATAAAATTTCAGTTTTTACCAACCAAAGCACAGAGAGAGATTAGAATAGCAATAGGTCAGAATATATGACACTAGGGATGTAACAATAACTGAAATATCGTGATATCGTATCGTCAGAGTTCTCACAATAATATCATGGACCATCACAATATATCAAATGACAAGTCTCTTTGCTTAAATTAAGAGTTATGGTGCAGCAATAGCTAAAAAAACGACAGTGGGAACTACATAGACCATGGTCCTTTGCTCTATTTCAGTGTAGACTACATGAAGAAATAACAGTTCTAAACACTTTTAAGTTTTCGTTCTTTGGATTAAGTCTTGTCAAGGCATTTTAAGAGGAAAAAGTAGCATATTAACAGTTTCAGCTGTTTAGCCTCCACAAAATATCATAATAAATACCATACCGTGAGATGTATATCGTGATAATATCGTTTAGAGATTTGGAAACTGTTACATCCCTAATTGTGAGCCTCCCCATCATATCGTGAGCCTTCCCAGGATATCGCAATAAATATCGTAACGTGAGGTTCATACTGTGACGATATTGTATTGTGAGACTTGGATATCGTACACCCCTATATGACACCCTACTATACTTTTACACCATCAACCATAAATTCAACACAGTTCTACTTTTTTCTACTCACTTACTCGTACTTCAGTCTCTACAGAACCGCCGTCTGATTCTGGATCCTGCAGAGATCAGAGGTGAAATTAGTTTTACCAATTAATGCTAAAAACACATGCAGGCTAAGGTTACAGTTTTTTTCAACTATTTTAGCACATTTTAACTTTAGCTTGATCATTTGATTTAAACATGTATCTGAACAGGGGAATAGGTGATCAGATCATTGAACGTTTCTCATCAGTTCACACAGTTCTCAGGTGCTTTCTCACAACACTTGACGCAGCTCATTTAGAAACACACATGATCAGTGAATTCCCCTAATTTTATCAATCCTACACATCTGTTCTCATGTGGTAAAGCAGGTAAAGCATAAAATCAAAAAGCAAATATTTGTGAACATCCAAAATTTATCTAGTCATGAGTACAGGAACATCCTACTGCAGCCATTACAGGCCATATATCAAAAAGTACTGTTGGTGTAAATGTCATGTTTGATTTTTTCACTTTCACTTTTTTCAACTCTAGAGGCCTGTTCTCACATGCTAAAGGCCCAAACTCTGTCATTTTCAATATAGAAATTCAAACAGAAAGGCAAATCAACATGTGTGAGCACCAAAAATCTAATGGTGAAAGATTTCACACATGAGTCAAACAGGGAGAAGCGTCTCAGTGCTGAGTACAGACACTGAGTACATGAATAGATACAAAAGTATTGTTGATACATTTCCTATTCCAACATCTTTCCATTTTACATAATACAATACAGACAGGTTTTGGACAAAAAACACAGCTTTTCCAGTCCAAACTTTAAAGTGTGTAAAGTGTGAAGCCCAGAGTCTGACTGCACTAAACCAGTGATTCTTTGTGGTCACTCAGAGAAGGACTAAAACTTCTGAGCTACAGTGTCAAGTGAATGAAAGAGCCCAGAAACACATGACCAAGGTTTGAGAGTTTAGACAGTGAAATTAGTTTTTGAAGAATGATTTATGTTTGGGATTCTGTGTGAACTGTTTTGCAAATGTAAATTTTTAATAGAGAAGTGTGTCAAAGACATTGAAAAAAACAGTAATATTTTTAAGCTGTTGAACCTAATATTCCTAAACAAGTCCATTATCCAGTGTCTCCCCTTTTGTCCGCTTTGCACCCACACTCTCACACTCACATGGGAGCGCCCAGTGTCTTGCACTTGTCCTGGTTTGGCTCCGATGCCGTAATAGGCGTTTGGGTCTAAATCGAAGGAGTCGTTGTCTGGCTGTGAATACAAATGTCCCAGCTGTTTTAGTTAAGGACATGAGTCTAAAGGGACAAGGCATGAGATGGGAGGGAGGTGGGGGGAGGGGGGGATGATGTGATGATGAGACTGACATGTGTTTTATGACACTGGCTTTGTTTTTTGTTTTTTTTGTTTTTTTGCATAAGTAAAAAAAAATAAGGTATCTGTAATTTACTGGAGTACATTTGAAGGTGGATATTTTTTTACTTTTACTTACTTTCACTACATTTGAGAGCAGGTATCGGTAATTTCTACTCCACTACATTTTTGAACCGGACTGAAAAGTAAAAGCATTTTAAATACAAATGCACAAAGAAAAGCAGCTAGAAAAACAAAACAAAAAAACAAAACAAAAAAACAAAAAAAAACCCAATCAATTCAGTTGTTTCTATTGAACAAAATTCAGCACAAACCTTTATCAACCTCTCTACATTTCTTTTATTAGATTTCAAAATCAATATTTTTATTTTTTACCCTTTACGTACATTTTTAAACAGATACTTTAATACTTTTTCTTAAGTAGATTTTTTTCATGTGATACTTGAGTATATATATATATATTTTTTTTGCTCTGGTATCTGTACTTTTATTTAATTAACTAAATCGAGTGCTTCTTCCACCACTGAATGTGAGTAATCTGGTTTATTTTTGATTGTTCACACCCATGCAGGTTTTGATGCTGAAAATTATGCAAAGAAGGACAAAGTAATGTTTTAAATCGTTATGTCATTAATTCTATGTCAAAATACAAAACTGTCACGCGTCATTCAATGTTTTTAATGATCAGATTTCTTTTGTGCATGGAAACACACACCAGAACCCAGATCTAATTATTGGGTTATCTGATTATGCCATTTTTTTTTACTGACCACGAAAAAAGGCATCGGGTTTTAGTTTCTAGTTTAATCATTTACAGAACATTAAATGCTGAGACTCTTCATGTGCCTCTGCCATAGTTATAAACTGGTCTGCTGCCATCTGCTGTTTAAAGATGATAATGAACATATGAATGATGCTTTTAAAACAAATAAAGCAAAACATGATTTCTCACCTGGCCTTGTGTCTCTGTGTATTTGAATTTCATATTCTTGTAAAACTCTCTTTTTGGTAATAAATAAAGTAGAACCAAGTCACAAACCACAGTTGCCTGGAAGATAAAAGAAAAATTAGGGCTGGGCAAAATATTTTTTTTAATCGCGATTAATCGCATGAGTTCGAGCGATTAATCACGATTAATCGCATGTTATACGCAAAACCAATTAATGAATTAAAAAGTAGAGTACAGCGCACTTTTATTGGAAATGTAAATGAAAGAGCCAAACATTTGTTGTGCAAACAGCATTTCTTTCACAGGGGAACCCTCAGAGCCTTCAATGTATTCAGGGAAGGCTCAAGAAAAAATTTTGAATGGACGTTTGTACTACTAATATATTTGTTGAATATTTTTTATGCTGTGAGTAATGAACACTACACTAGTAATAATTTCTAGATCAGTATTTATAAACTTGGACTGATATTTCTTAGGAAACAAGCTCAGCTCAGAGCCGGTGGTCGCGGCTGAACCCGCGGCTGAGTCCGCGACGGGAGTCGGAGCGCGCGGCCGAACCCGCGGCCGAACCCGCGGCTCGCGGAGGCTCGGACACGTTGCATCTCACGTGGTCAGAAAAAAGTGAAAAAAGTGTAAAGAAAAGAGTCAAACTTAAAGAAACGCTCGCGGTGGACTTTTTCGAAATAAAAGCCAGTGAGTAACAGACGTTTACAATAAAATAAATAAATAATAAAAACTGCGTTAACGGCGTTAAAATAATTGTCGGCGTTAATGACTTGATTAGTTAACGCAAAGTTAACGCGTTAACGTGCCCGGCCCTAAGAAAAATAAAACATTAAAAGACCTATATTACACAAAATAGATTCTTATGACCTTTAAGCCATGTTATAATGTTGCTATCTAATTGAAAACATACCTGGAATTGTGTTTTGTCACTTTCACTTTTTTATTGCTCTGTCTGAATCTTCAAAGCTCAGAATGCTCTGTCCCACCTTGTAATGTCATGTAGTGGTAGTTTTCAAGTTTTGCTTAAGTTTGTACCTTTTGTTCAATAGAGATGGGCAATTCCATGATTAAAATCATGGAGTTTAAAAACACAGTGGAGCACTTCCTGCATCATCACATGACATCACAAGGTGGAACAGAGTTTTCCGTTTGAAAGAAGAACTCAGCCTAAATATGCAGTTATTGTGTGTTAAGTGTGTGTGTGAATGAAACAAATCACAGCTCTGGATGTTTGTGAAACATTATAACAGAGATCAGAAAATAGCATAATATGGGCCCTTTAATTAAACTAGATTAAAAGACATTATTATTTGTGATACACAACTAAATAACACATTGTGGTACTATTAAAATTATAATTAACAAATTGGGAGCTCCAAAGAACTGTGTTGTGGATCTGTTTTTTGGGGCCCAGCACACACCTTTAATCAACTAAATACACATAAGACTCACCACTCCAAAAATGCCCACACCTGAGCCTATCGCGGTTAATGTTGGGATGATATCAAATTTCCTGGCCTGCAGAGTACACAAGAATCCCATGTTATTATTTGTTACGCACACACTATGCTGTTATCAGACATAGGTCTAAACTTACCAGTGATTGTACAATGATATCAATCCTTATTCCAAACACTTTGAAAAGAGTCCTTTTCTGAAGTCCATTTTCAAAATAATGCCTTGCATACCTTTAAGCACATCATATAAAAGTTATTTACTATATTACACAAAATTGACTCTTGTGAGCTTTAAGTAATGTTATAATGCTGTTTCCTCATCAAGAACAGTTGTGTTTTGTTTCATTCACAGGCTTGAGTAACTCTTTATTATTAGTCTGTCTACATCAGCAAATGCTCTGTTCCACCTTGTCATGTCATGAAGTGGTCAAGTTACCTTTGACCTCTAGTTCAGTAGAGACTGGAAATTCCAGGGCTGAAATTACCCAAATGATTCTAGTGAAGGTTTATGAAGTTTAAAAACACAGTGGAGCACTTCCTGTATTACCACATGACATCACAAGGTGGAATACAGTGTTTTCTGTTTGAGAGAAGAACTCGGTGTAAATATGCAGGGTTTGTGTGTTAAACATGCGTGAATAAAACAAAACACAACTCCAGGTATGTTTGTGATGAGTGAACAATATTATAACAGATCAGAAAAATAGCACCATACAGTATGAGCTCTTGAAAATATTGCATTTTACATGTCGCAAACCCAACCTGCCTTGTCTTTGATATTATAGGAGAGGAACAGAAAATGAATGTCCTCTTGTGGTGACACTACATATACTCTAACTGAAATGGTGTGCAACAGGTGAGGCTTTGAACTGCGTACATGCAAACATTGTAAACTGCAGCTCCGACTGGCACAAGCTCAAATATAAACAGGTTGAAAGCTCTCAGCTGGGTTAATATGGAGAGCCTCATATTAGAGTAAATATATCTGTAGAGCACTGAAGATCATAGACTCTATATACAGTCTCTGGTGCGTCAGGAGGTAATTGGGTCAGACCTGAAGTTGTATCCGACAGATGCTCGTGCGTTGTCTGTCTCATCTGGGTTTCCGTAAAGACCGTGGAAGCTGTACTCAGGTTTACACTTTCGTTTATCCACATCAAAGTTACATGTCCAGTCTATCACAATACCTATGGCTCCTCCCTGCAGAGTTACACACTGGGTTTAGTCATGTATGTTCAATGACAAAAGGCACAAAGCATGAAAGAGTGATGCTGTTTGTAGTGCGGAGTAAAGGCCTAGGGGTAAAACTTACCACTTTTGCTATTGTTTCGAAGTTGAACCCAGATAATTTGACTATGTCTCCCATTTTGAATATCGGGCACAGAGGAGCTTTGTCTGGATCGTAAAGACATTTACTGATGTAGTTTGCATCAATACCTTCCACCAGATTACTCCTGAAATAACCAGAGAGGCTTGCTCAAACCAGATTACAAAAGAAGACCATAAAATGTGGGTGTTAAATATACAGCGCACTCTTAAATACAGGCTATAGCATCTATTGAGGAATACATAAAAATTGCCCATTACCTTGAGACGCCAAATAAAGGAAAAGTGACCGAGTTTTTGATAAAAAGTGTGTAGTTCTCTGCAGACATCAACAATGGAGGACTGTTAGAGAAAGAGAGAGAGAAAGTGAGCACATTAACATTTATGTGTCAACAAAAAGGTCAAGACATAAGAGGTAAATATACAAGTATCGCCACTTATTACACATAGTCGGGAGGGGACTATAGCATTTACTGCAATAAAAAGTCTAGACAATTGTTCGTGGTATGTTTATTGTCATTATACCACAAGATTGTGAGGATAAAGAGCTACTTAAAGGTTCCATATTACGTTATTTTCTAAACTATGTTATAATGTTTCCTCATCACAAACCCATCACATACCCGGAGTTGTGTTTTGTTTCATTCACACATGTTTAAAACACAAACCCTGCATATTTCGTCTGAGTTCTTCTCTCAGGCAGAAAACACTTTGTGATGTCATGTGGTAACAGGTAATACATGAAGTGCTCCACTGTGTTTTTAAACTCCATACACCTTCACTAAAATCATTTGGATGATTTCAGCCCTGGAATTGCCAATACCTACTGAAATAAAAATAAAAGGTATTTTTGTTAAACTTTCTGCCTGGAGAGGTGATCAAAAAAGCAGACACATACCTTTTCAAGATTTTGACATTAGCATAAAAAAAGCAATAACAAGAAGCTGGCTTAAAAAGGACCCACCCTCAGTGAATCAGTGGCTAGACATTATAACGACTGATTTTTTTTCTACAACTCTAAGGAGACTTCTTCATTAAACGCTGGACAAAATGGTTGAAATATAAACAATAACAGATTTGACTTCTACATCCTTAATGCAGTGGAACAGTGCCCCAAGCTTTGTATTTGTTTGCTTGTTACACAAAACTTGAAAAACTGAATAAATAAATAAAAAAGACTAATAATAAAGGCAGACTAATAATAAAGGATTAAATATGTCTGAATAAAACAAAACACAATTCTAGAGGAAACGTTATAACATGGCTTAGAGCTCACAAGACTCAATTTTGCGTAATACTTTTAACTTATCTCTGATGCTTTCTTTTAGCTCATTGTTGTTGTCACTTATAATAAAGGCGACACTAGCCACTGTGTTGTTGGTTTTTTTCACTACAGTAAATCTGGATAAAAGTGTACAGAGGCTATTAAGAAACAGGAGAAACAGAACAATATGAATACACACTCTGGGATGTGTTGATCATCTTCCACAGGACACCAGGCTATGACCTCACATGTTTTTGTAGTGTTATCACAACGTCCCGTCATGCTTCCTGAAAATACAAGATTTGTAAAACTTTAGTTACTTAAAGACCATGAAAACAGTGAGGAAAGACAAGCAGAGAAAAGTGCACTAGCTTTGACAGAGAGCATTCCCAGCATGCTGAAGTTATGTGCCTTGCAGTTCTCCAGTTTTATCTCGGTTCTGAATCTCGAGGAGCAGGCGGCGATGTGAGGCGAAGCTAATGCTGGAACGCTCTTTTCTTTATCTGCACTTGAGTTGAACATATCATCTTCTGCATATAATTAGATTTTTCAGCCATTTAAACCTACAATATGTATTCGCTAGAGTCGCAGGATTTTAGGGGAATTTTTTTTTTTATGAGTATTGTGATAGTGGTTCACATATGATTAAAGACTTACAGTAACTAAATCAAGAATTCCATGCATTTCACAACATTCTGGAGAGGTTAAAAAACTAAAGGGTCTACTATGGGGTCTGCAGTTTGTTTTTTACCAGAGGGCTGCACGATTTTGAAAACTACTTGCGATTTTCTGATAAGTAATGCTCTTGTTATTAGATTTGTGAAAGCTGCTTAAATTGAGATACTCTTCAGAATTCTCACTGTAAACAACTTCAGGAACTTCACATTTGGAAAAAGACAAAAATATGACCTGATAAACTAATACAAGACTCCCCTTAGGTATGCAGGTCTGAAAACTACTGGGTTAGCAGTTGTTTTGCATTCTATTAAGCAGATGTAAGAGAAACTTGATTTGTCCTACTCCTACAGTGGGGAAATTCCAGTGTTACAACTCAAAGTTCAGAACAGAGAACAGCTGGAGACTAGAAATATTCAATCAAAGATCAAGATAAATAAATTATATTTTTTCATTATTAAAAACACTCCGTGCAAGTAGACCAAAAATACAAGGCTACGGACTTCAAATGGACAGGATTGGACTTGATACGACGTTGATATTTGTGCACTTAGTGTTTTTTGTATGTATTAAGTGTGGAGAGAGTTTTTGCTTTCGTTTTGTATAGTTTTATTTTTGTTTGTGCTTAATTTTCAAAAGACTACAAAAGAATTATGTACAAAACATTGCAGTCTTTTCCATTTACTCAATATATCGTGCAGTCTTAGTATTTACTAATATAACCTACACGCAAACAGGATGTTCGCATGCGGGCGCTCCCAGCTCCTTCTGGCCCTGGCTCCCATTGTCTTACATTGGAATATTGTGGCCTTCTGTTGTAACTTCTGTTGTTAGTCTCATCATTTTGGTCTTAAAATGTTCACATTAACCCGCTTTACATGACCCTGGTGTTTTTATTTTTCTCTTTGTCCATAAAAAAAAAATCATATTCCTAATATGGAACTTGTGATCAGCAAATTAGTGCTGTTGTAAAATCTAGTTTTTTCCAGCTAAGACAACTCACCAAAGTTAAGCCTATTTTGTTAACGCAACATTTTGAAACGGTCATACATGCATTTATGGCAACTAAATTTGATTATTGTAATGCACTTTATGTTGGTTTCAGCCAAAATGCACTTTTGCAACGGGTCCAAAAATCAGCGGCTCAACTTTTAACTGCAATCCGGAAACACGAGAGCATCTCACCAATTTTAGCCTCTCTCCATTGACTCCCAGTGTCCTTTAGAGTCGATTTTAAAATTCTTTTATTTACTTTTAAGTGTTTGGACAGCCTAGCGCCCTCCTACCTCACTGGCCCCTCTTGCACACTCAGGTCAGCAGACCAGCTCCAGCTCGCTGTCCCAAAAACTAAATGTAAGCTTCGTGGGGACTGTGCATTTTCTGTTTCTGTCCCATGGCTGTGGAACCAGTTGCCATTAGAAATTAGACAGGCCAAGTCTGTACCTATTTTTAAATCACTCCTAAAAACACACCTTTTTTCACTGGCTTTTAACAAGTGACATGTATATTTCTTGTTATTGAGTGTCTTACTGTTTTCTATGTTTTTGGTAGTTGTGTTGCTTTTGTACTGTGTATTTTATTCTACTGCGATTGTCATTGTCTGTCCAGTGTTTGTGTACAGCACTTTGGCCAGCTGTAAAGTTTTTAAAGCGCTTTACAAATAAAGTTGTTAGGGTATGGTATGGTATATGGAGTGTGGACCAAATTTGCCCCTGTAACCATTTGCATCATCGTCAGCTTCATTTGTGTGAAGTCAAATGCTATGGGCAACATCACACTCGCTTAATCCACTTCTTTAAACAATGTATGCTTAAATCCCATTTTGTGTAATATAGGAGCTTTAAAGCAGTGTGTTTATGAGTGTCCAGTGTTGTGTGAGCGTGACTGTGAGGGCGCCGAGCCTGTTTACTCGTCTAGTGTAATGACAACTGTCCGCCAATTGTCAACTGTCCGCCTCTCCACACACCTCCAGCTCAGTCTGACCTCTCTCACTTGGACACATCTAAAGCTCTGGGAGGCTGACGGTTTATTGGAGCAGATGCTACAGCGAATGACTTAATTTAACCTTAGAGAAAATACATTTTTGTAACTAAGGCTGTGCAATTTGGTGGAAAAATCCAGTTGCAATTTTTTGGACAAGGTTGTGTTTAGATTTGCAAATGTTTCTGGATTTGGACTCTGCACCTACTAAACTACAGAGCATTATCATTTCAAAGGCCCATATTGTGCTATTTTTTGATGTATGTCTGATGTATGTTGTTGGAGTTGTGTTTTGTTTCATACATGTTTACCACACAAACCCCTGCTTGTTCTCTGAGTTTTTCCTCTCAAACAGAACACTCTGTTCCACCTTGTGATGTCATGTGGCTATTCAGGAAGAGCGCCACTGTGTTTTTAAATCCAGACACCTTCACTAAAAGCATTTGGATGATTTCAGCCTGGGAATTGCCAGATCAAAAGGCAGCTATGAAAACTAACCACTACATGACATCACACAGTGGAACAGACCATTTTGAGCTTTGGAGATATAGACAGACTAATACAGTATTGCTCAAACATGTGTGAATGAAACAAAACACCACTCCATGTGTGTTTCTGATGTGGTAACAGCATTCTAACATGACTTAAAGCTCACAGGAATCAATTTTGTGTACTAGAGGACCTTTAAAAAAACTTAAATATGTATATAAGTGGTAAGAATCTAATGAATTTCAGAACATGTTTTTAGAGGTTTTAACTACAGGCACAAGATAGTTTATATATTGTTATTTGCAAGGAAACTCTATTATATAAATATGCAACCATTCGGAAGTGATAATTGTGTTACGATTGTGCAATCCTACCACAGTGTTCTGTGAGAGGATGTGTTCTGTATCTAAATAGTATTTGAAACATTATTTGCACTGTGCACCTGTAGTAGGATGTCCTCTTGTCTTAAATGCTATGCTAACATGCACCTTATGTCATTGCCTGCTTGCTTAAGGCAGGGCTGGCGGAGAGCCAGAATATAAATATGTTATAATATAAACTCTATTGTTTGGTTGTTACGGAGAATTGGTTGCTTGTATATCTTACCACCTTTTCTCTTATGTTGAATAAAGAAAACATGTCCAAATGTTTGCCTTATAAGTAAATGAAGGCATTTGTGTTTTTAGAAGTCACAGCATACTCTGCAAATACAACACCTTTATACTGCTGCAAAGAAATAGTTGCACTGAGTAACTTTCCTGGTGGACCGTCTCTGTGGAGATATTATTGCATTGCCTGGAATGTTCAGAAAAGCATTCCAGTTATCTACCTTTTTTTTTTTTTTTTTCTTTTCAATTATGCCTGGTTTATATTGTAAAAATAAATGCTACACCTGTAAGCTGTACCATGGTCTGACTGCACCGCCTGCCGTCTCCATGGTGATAGATGAGTTAAATGCAATTCTGGGGAACATTCCATATAAAACAAGAACATCAACATCCATCAGGTGTAACTTTATCATTTTAAGTTTATCATTTTAATTTGTGGCATAGTTTTGTTAAAGAAAATATGACTATGTCACATTAGTATTAAGTTCCAGAGTAAATTTAGTTTTTTATTTTAAATCTGATGAGTTATAGAGTAGCCTAAAACATATTTCTGGATCAGTATAACTAATATTAATGCTGAGATAATATTCTTAAACTTCATTACAATAGAGTTAGTTTGCATTAGTTATCCATTAGTCACTCAGTACACTGGGGCAGATGGAGCAGTAGAATTTACCGTGTCCCGTACGTTTGTAACTCCCTCCTTCACAGTCAGCATCTGAGGTACAGTTGTGCTTACCAGGAAGCTATGGAAGAGAGAATGTTATCAGTCAGTGTAAAGTTATGTAACCAAAGGGAAATGAGTCATGTTTACACACAAAGCTGTCTTAATGTAAAGAGGAACTCATCTTAAATATGCAGCATTTGGGTGTTAAACATGTGTGAAGGAAACAAAACACAACTCCTTATTCTTGTGATGAGGAAATAACAGCATAAATCAATCAGAAATTAGTGTAATATCGGGCCTTTAATATTTAGAAATAAATCAATGAAATGTGTCAAAAATGTTCTGTAATTTAAAAAAATTACCTCAAATACACCCAAATTTGGAAAAGTTAGTCAATAATGATACTGCTCCATGCTGTGCTGTGTAAATAAATATGTTTAAAATACCCAGTTGTATGAAGTTTAGTATACACAATTGGCCAATTACACAAACAGTTGTGGAATGAGGCACAGTTTCCGTTCATTTTGACTATTTAAGGAAGCAGTTGTTCAGTATTTCAGAGGAAGAGAGACGAGACAGACGGACTAAATAAGTACAACCAAATACCTCTGGACACTTTCCCAATGACTGGCCTTCTGTTATGATGTAATTGGTCATCACCACAAACGAAGCATCTCCCTGTGTACACAAGAAGCAGACAGTATCTATCACCTGAGGCTTTAATGCACATATGAGCAATTCAATAACACACTATCACACATGGATCTACTGTATATTTCAACATTTTAAAGCTATTGATACTTTGCAGCTGATGTCCTCAATGTTTTCTGAGGGTGTGATGCTAACTGGACGTATTACTCAATATGAAGCTCAGTTACTCAATTTAGACTTTAATCTGGGCTTTGTTTTAACACAATCTGACCAGAAAGAAGTGATTTAGCCGGGACTACAACACGTGAGGTGCTTTGTGCTGTTAAAGTCCCTATCAAATGACATTACAAGCACAAGCAGGACCAGGCAAATTTAAAACACCCCTAGCATGAAGTCACTGCAAATTATCAATAACACATGTATCCATATTTCAACCTTTAAAAGCTATAGAACGGGTGGGATGGGTCATATGCTGGGCTCAAAATAAGAAAAATATTATCTGTATTAACTTTACTGCACATGCTACATTTCCCATGTCTATAGGTTTTATCATCACAGGCAACGTGCCAAAGCTAAAGCATGAAGACACACCTATCAACACAAACATGTTTCAATATACACTTTACAATGTATAATGAGTTTATTGTCGTTTCACTTTCACATAATACATCTGGATGTCGCCATGATATCAGCATTCTTAGGGCCTATTAATAATTTCAACCTCTGTCATCAACATTCCCTGAGGGTGTGATGCTAACTGTAGGCACTACTCTGTTACTCAGTTTTAATTTAACACAATTTGACTTGACAATCTGACTTGCCTTTTAGATGTGCCTGCCTGTCTCCATGGAGATATACAAGTTTAATGTTATGCATTTAATATACATTTCAGGCAAAACAATAAGATTTACCTAGAGACAAGCAGGTAGCAGGTCCTTCACCACAAAAGTTACAGTTATAATCTCTGTTGGGAAAATTACAATTGATATAATACTCTGAAATCTTTCAAATTTTCAGTGCATGTTTATTCCTTATTTGATGTTTGCACATTTATTTTATTTATTTTTAAATTGTTTTATTTATTTTGCACATATATAACATAACAATGAAAAAACTCACTAAATAAAAAAGAAGGTGCCAAAAGAGGCAAATAACCCAAAGGGCTTATATTAAAGCCTCCACCTTATGAAGACATTAACAATTGAACATTATAGCTGTGCATTAATTAAAAATAAAAAATACAATTACATTTACACACCCTGGATTAAATTCATTTGATTCAAACATCAATTAAAATACAATGAAACATCCACAACTGAATGATTATCAAACATTATCATGAAATATAAAATATTTCCTCAAACTTTTTAAACAACTTTTCTGATTTGCCATCACTAACCAGATGTGAAAACTGTCACCACAGTTTACATCCTCTGTATCGTAGCAAAAGTGAGCTCTTGATGTGACACTTTTTAGAACATAAATACAAATTTGAAGAGTTTTGTATCTATGAATCTCTGCATTAGTTTTAAAGTTAAATGTAATGTAAAATGTTTGGGGATCGTAGTTGTATTATAAAGGATTTTATAAATAAAACTACATATCTAATAAATGTGTTAAGTTTGATTAATAAATTTGCAGAAAATGTTAGTGGCAATGAATGAGTTGCAATTTGAACACAACATTTTTTTGCACCAATAATATTTTATTCAGAGTAGTTGAGAAAGTGCTTGCCCAGACTATATTACAATATGACAGATAGGGATAAAATAAACTATGGTATAATGTAAGCACAGATTTTGAGTCCAGAAATGTACAAACTTTTCTTATAATACCAAGAGATTTTTATTAATTTTTTTCTGGTCACCCAGTCAGCTGCTCTTTCCAGTTAAGATTACAAAGACGCTGAGAAATTTTGTAGGACACGAGCTATTCATTTGCATCAGTTTTGATTTTAGGGTTAGTTGGAAATGACTTTTTTCACCACAAAAAATCATATAATTTGTTTTCTTGATATTTAGAGATAATTTTTTCATTTTTTTTTTTTAACCATTTGTCATAAGCAGATAACGCAGCATTAGTTGGTTTATTAGAACATTAGTGGAGGAGTTCAAGTATCTCGGGGTCTTGTTCATGAGTGAGGGGAGGACGGAACGTGAGATTGACAAGCGGATCGGTGCAGCTTCGGCAGAGATGCGGTCGCTGTATCGGACCGTTGTGGTGAAGAGGGTTTACCGGTCAGTCTTCGTTCCTACTCTCACCTCTGGTCATGAGCTCTGGGTAGTGACCAAAAGGACGAGATCGCGGATACAAGCGCTCGAAATGAGTTTCCTCCGCAAGGTGGCTGGTCGCTCCCTTAGAGATAGGGTGAGGAGCTCAGTCACACGGGAGGAGCTTGGAGTAGAGCCGCTGCTCCTCCACGTCGAGAGGAGCCAGCTGAGGTGGCTTGGGCATCTGTTCAGGATGCCTCCTGGGCGCCTCCCTCGGGAGGTGTTCCAGGCATGTCCCACCGGGAGGAGGCCCCGGGGAAGACCCAGGACACGCTGGAGGGACTATGTCTCTCGGCTGGCCTGGGAATGCCTCGGGGTCCCCCCGGAGGAGCTGGAGGACGTGTCTGGGGTGAAGGAAGTCTGGGAGTCCCTGCTTAGGCTGCTGCCCCCGCGACCCGGCCCCGGATAAGCGGACGAAAATGGATGGATGGATTAGAACATTAACATTGGAATTGGATATGAATCAAGTCGTATCATCAGCAAACATTATTGGGGTAAGATCTTGACATATGTAACAGAAGTCGTTTATGTACAATAAATGTTTGCACATGTAAGGGAGCGGTTAGCTTAAACTATCTTAACCTTAAACCACAGACATGTCCTGTTACAAATGACTTTTTGTTTACAAAGTCATAATCTGCAAACCACACAGTCTGTGTAAAGATTAACCAAGATGACATTAGTGACCTCATAGTTTTATCATTTCTTTATGTGCAATTACATAATTACTGACACAAAGACACACAAATACAAGCATGCTTAAAAGTACATTGTGTAACTTTTCTGCTGAAGGGTAACATTGTTTTGCCCAGGATGTTCCTCACACTGGGATTAAATGTATCTATCACTATGGAGACAAGTATGAAAGGCCATGCTCACAGTAAGAGTGCATGTTTTCCAAGTTATTTTTGAGCAGAAATTATATCAATACAAGACAAGTTTAATTCCATACTGAGGAGTGATAGCAAAAGTGATAGCATATCCGTGGAAACAAGCAGGTAACGGATCTCCCCACTAGTAAAGTTACACAGTGCCCTTTAAGATTATGGTTTAAACATCCCGAGTTCAGCCTAATGTATTTTTGCCTCACACACAAGGCTCCCACACTCATAAGGTTAATTAAAACGCAGTGTTAGGATGTAAATAAAATGTTATTGGATTGAACTGAAGGATATCTTAAAACACAATAGGTGCAGGTGAACAAGCTGTCAAATGTATAGATTATTTGTAAGGTAAAATTTTTATTAAAACTGTAATAGACTTTTAGTTAATCAATTCTATGGATGATTTGTAAATTAATTTGAATTTCTCAGCCATCAATATTACCTGTCACTTTTACTACTGATCTATATTCTACAGTGACCACAGTATATGCAGTGGTCTGACTCAGCCTGATCCTCATTCAGTCTGACAGTTGGATTCATAGTATTTGACTGTTGTAACATTTGACCCATTTATTTTAATCCCAGCATTGGTCATCTGCCTGTACATGGGTTCATAACAACATTCTTGAATCCATATAGTTTAACACTGAGCAGAAGGATAGGCCAGAATTATCTGGTGGAATTTGTGGATGCAAGGTGTATTCTGTAACTTTTCTGGAGGAGGATCCATCAAATGCTTTTTCCATGGAGATGCTATTGCTTTGTCTGGAATGCTTCACAGTATGGTTTAAACCTTTCTATCTTCATGTAGACCAAACCAGACCAAGTTACATGTCAGATCTGTGGAGAGACAACCCTGCTCACAGTCAAAATTTGTGTTTTTCTAGGTATTTTTGCTATAAAACCACCTGTAATTGAATAAATGTAAGGTATAGGAACATTCAAGCAATGACATCTCCATAACTGTCAGATTGCAGATTTGCTGACCTGGTTTATGGTTAATATATCTGTAATTAGTGGGCCTATCCACGTGAAATAAAAAATAAAATAAAATAAATTAAAAGTTTAATGTTTTATCTTCATCTTCAGTGTAAATAAACAAAAGTTTTTTTTTTGTTTTTTTTTCCTCTATAGCATCAGACAACATTAAATATATAAATAATGAGATAACAGTAGATAACCAAGACCCAATCCCTAACAAATAATAATGATAAGATTCAACATTTGTGGATTTTATGGTCACATTTTTGTATTGCACTTTTCCACCTTCAAAGCGCTCAAAGTGCTTTACATCAAGGAACCATTCACCTGTTCAGACATACACATTCATACACCAGTGTAAACAGATTTGAGGACGAGGAGGGTTAAGTGTCTTGCCCAAGGACACAACGTCAGCATTCATCTGTGGGAGCTGGAATTGCATAGTCTGATTCATCAGCCGGTTTCACTTTGTGGAAAACGTCTGACCTCGCAGCATTAGGATTCGTTTGCTCGACGGTAGACAGGTACTTTTTTTTATTTAACAAATCACAGCTATTTGGTCGTGACATATGTAATGCACCACTAACGGGGCTAACTGGTATATTAAGCTTTTCCCAAATCCCATAGGAAGAAGGGCAATTTTCCCCTTGGTAAAATTCACCATTCTCTTTGTTCCGGCTTTAAATCCTCGATCTCGAGAATCATTGCCAACACAGAATGTATGGCTTCATCTACATCAATCTCGACCGCTTTGTTTACTGTTGTGCTGTACCACAAAAGGGACACAGACAGGAGCTTGAGTTTGACGTCATGGCTTCACAGCTCTTCAATGATTGGCCAGTGCGTGGTCTACAACTTCCGGGGTTCTTGCAAACCATCTAGTGTATTCCGATTCCTGACCTAGTTGCTGGAAAGAAATTAAATTAAGTGGAGGCACTAGGTGGCGCCAGCCTGGCTAGGAATTGCTCTTCCCGCCTGCAATGTCAATGATGTTTTTTCGTTATGTCGAGAGTGGGATTCAAACCGGCAACTTTCAAATCAGTTGACAAACTCTACCAGCTGAGCTACCAGCTAGAGGAATTCGCTTTACATTTACTGACCTGTGGTGGAAAGACATAGTCTGCCACATCCCAGATCTTCTCCGTTCCATTCACATTGGTATAGCCCACTCCCTTCATTTTGGTTAGCGTAGAGCTGATTGCAGTGTCTGTGGACTGGTAGCCTTTTTCATAGATGAACACCCACCTACAAAGGTCAAAGAAAAACACATGAGGTTACAACTGTCAACTATTCAGCCCAACACTACGGCCAGTCTCCACTGGCAATGACACATGGAGGTGCCATACATATCCAACAGCTCTTTCACTTGTTCTAACATGTTGTTACAAATGAAATGTCATGGTGGGCAAACTTTCTGTTAGGACAAAAATCACACTTCAACATCATCAGCTTTTGATTTTACCAGAAGCAAAGTTGAGAAGTGCAAGAGCAGAGCAGTCAAGAGCAGTATAATGTTGATAGTCACTAATGCAATCAGTGGTCATTTAAATTAATTAATTATGGAACAACAGCTTTGAATAGTGGGTTCCTGTTTAGATGTTGTTTCTGTAAAGGGCGTATACGCAAAATTTAAAAACTTTAAACTTACAGAGAAGCACTTCCTGTATTACCACATGACATCTCAAGGTCAGAGTGTTTTCTGTTTCACATAAGAACACAGTTTAAATATGTAGGGTTTGTGTTAAATGTGTGTGAATGAAACAAAAACACAACTCCAGATGAACATGCAGTCAGATCAGAAAATATGGATCCTCTAAATTAAAGCTATGTCTGCATTTGACAAATTATTAATTGTACTGTATAGGAGAAAAAACAAAACAAAACTGAAAAACATGCATCCTTATTGTGAGCAGGGGCTTGCTTCTCCACACACCTGACTCTTATTTGGCCTTCATCTGCTTGTTTCCATGCAAATGTTGTTTCTTTGCCTTATTTAATATTAGGGATGTAACAATAACTGAAATACTGTGATATCATATCGTAAAAAGTCTCACAATAATATCGTGGGCTGTCACAATATATCAAATTGAAAATTCTTTTGCTTAAATGCATTGTTTAAAAAAAAAAAAAAAAGCTAACAATCATAGAGAACTACATATCCTATGATTCATTTCAGTGCAGTCAACATGAAGAGATGTTTTTTACTTGACCTCCTGGGATTATAACAGCAATGATGTGCACCAAAATCTTGTCAAGGTATTTTTAAAGCAAAAAAGTGTCCTATCTACAATTATATTAGCACCTCCATGAGATGCAGATCATGAAAATATCATACCAAGAGATTTGGAAATCGTTACATTCCTAATATACTATAATTCCAGAATGGCATAAAACTCATCTGTCTCCATGGAAAAAGTTCAAAGTATGATTTTAACTTTCTATTTCCATGGGATCATGCAGGTGACATACCACCTTGAGAAAGTTACGCACTGTGCCTTTAAGATTGTTAAAGCAACATATACATTTTAACTATAAAACTGATACCAGTCCACCCTACTGACAGTACTCTAATGAGGCCCTTTCTCCCATTTCCTAAAGAGGATTTCATATTTGAATAACTACAGTGTTTTATGCTTGATTGTCTATGTGACCCAAGGCTATGAGTACCAGCTGGTAAGTGCACAGGCCAAACTACAGTACAAAGTAGTATACATTTAAGACTTTTTCAAGTAGTTAAAAGTAATTACCCTGTGGCATTGTGCCCATGAGCCACACTTTACTATACCCAGTCATTCCACAAAACCACAATGACAAGAAACACTGAAAAGCACCACTACTGTAGTTCTATCACAAGTGCAAATCAAATTAATCAATGCCAGAATGTATGGGAGCACATTCAAAGAGAGGAGAGAGCAAAAATGGAGCATGTTAATGAAAAAAGCGTGAACTGAAATGGCGTGTGCTTCCCAAACAGAGATTATATCAGCTGCATAGGAACAGTGTGCTCAGAGCTCTCCTCCTTTCTGCTACATAGGGCCAATACTGTTCACATGAATTCAAAAACATTGAAACAATAGTGTGCAGTTAATGAACACCAGTAGAAAATGGGGAATAATTAAAGGCTTTGTTGGCTTAATGGGGCTGCTGTGGTGAGATAATGACAGAAATGAGAATGTATATTTAACACTGTCTAATTAACATCTGCGCTAACTTTTATAGTGAAAAGACAAGGGAGATGAGCAAAATGCAGAAAGCTGTAACATTATATTTACACAAACATAATACAGAATTACAATATTTAGTGTAGCGCTTTCTGCAATGCATATATAGGACTGGGTGTGACAAAAATATATCATATGGATTCTCATAGTGATCCATCACAATGCTCATTTCATTTTGTCAAATTAAAACAAATAAAAATGTCCCTCGGTGTTATATTTAGGAATTTAAATAAGACGCACTTTTAATAATTGCTATTTAACACTGAAAAGATTACATTTTTTCCCAAAATCTGAGCTCAATTAACAAGACCCATTTACAGTTTTTAACTAGAATGACAAACTTAAAAATATCTTGTCCAAGAAACAAATGTCCCGTGTTTTTGTGTTCATGGGAACCAGCTTCCTGTTAGAGACAACTTTTTTTTTTTTTTTTTTCAATTTTGAAATTAACCAAATGAAACACAAAAAGACAAAAACAAAACAAAAACTCTCCCAAACCCCACCCCTCTCCACACTCAACACATAAGACTTTACAAAAAACACAGCTTACACAAACATCAAGTGTCAGTCAAGTTATAGACAACATTTTGACTTTTCACCATTCAAATCACATAATATTTTGTTTTAAATTGTTAATTGCTATGGCTACAATCCTAATTTCTTCTCAGTTTCAAACCCATGTATTGTGGTTTTTACCCCTCACATCCAGTAGACTTGGGTTTGTAAGAAGTGACAGCGTGACAAGGTAAAGACTTCAAGATAACGTCTGCTGTCAGTTTTTATAATCACATCTTCTTCCGTGCCAATCACACGTCCTCTAGTGTGTCTGGACATCTGTAACACGCAGGTGACAGTGGACACAAAAGCCCAACACTTCTTATCAGGGGCAATTTTTTCACATCTCCAGAATGACCTCCTGAATCTCAGTTTGACAAAGACAGCCAAAGTTACACATCATCTTAAACTCAGACTGACATGTGACGAAAAGACACTCAAATCTGACACATCCAAAACGCAAAATAACCAGTGGCTACCCCATTGTTTGAAATAACTTCTGTTCCTGTTAGCGACGCTTGATGTTTTTCAATTGTCTAGGGCGATTTGCCTTATCTCTACAGTCACCAGCTGAAAGTGGCAAGTCTCTACATTAGCTCGCCAGTGAATTGGGCAGTGCTTTGATTGTAATCCGAGTTAACATATGCCTCCACTTGTTCAGATCACACACCTCCTTAGGTCGTACCACAAGAACTACACACAAATCCAAAGAATTTCACTTAGCGGAAATGTCTTAGAGTGGGTTTTCTTCACAATAAAAACATGTCAGAACACGCAGTATGAAGTAACAAATGCAACGTTATCTTTCTTCATCGCTACTATCTTTGCCAGCAATGTCAGCCAGTATTTTGAAGTAACTACATACTTGTCATCCCACATTCAGAATAGTAACTCTGCATAAGTAGTACAGCTCCTCTTTTAATTGATGGTTTTCAGAATACCAAAATCAAAGGAAAACATCAACTGTATGGTATTAGAGTACACTGCTTTTGTGGTGAGCACATGTATGATTTTGCCTTCCCTAATAAGTGGTAAAGGAATTTGTTTTGATCCTTTATAATACACACTATAAAATAATGCAACTCAAAGTGAAAGTATTACAGTACTCTGATTGAGCCATGTAATGAATAATACTACAAAATACTTAATCTTAGGTATTCAGGTATTCAATATTATGTAAGAGTATTCTTCCTAGTACTGCAGTCAGCACAAACTTAGTCATCAAGTATGTGCTTAGTAAAGTGTCACATTGACCACTAACCACAATGCAATGAATGTATAAGCAAATGTTCTATTTTCTCACAAATAAACAAGACTCACCCGATAATATAAGCAAGAACTCCAAGCTGAATTATCCGGCACACAACTCCCACTCTCCTGTTCCTCACCAGCACCTGACGTGGGGTCTCATACTCAAACAAGAAGTCTGAGAGAGCATTTGTGATTTTGTTTCTCATTTTTTCCATTGGCCCCTTTAGAAATCAGGGCCAATATTGTAGCTTATAGTGGCATGCAAAATGCTAGTTTCCTCCACCTCCTCTGGGACTGGTTGGTGTGAGTCCTGTCTTGTGACAAAAAGATCTTCTGCTCACACTCAGAAAAAGAAGTCAGCTGTGGACTCCCAAATCCCCTCCCACTTCATAACCCCTCCCTTCTCTGTCATCGAGATCTGTCTCCCATAAATTCCCTTCAGAATGTAAATACAATACAGACATGGTTTCCAGTTATTATTGAAACCTATTATGTACATTTTTGTCCTCCCTATGTGAGCATGACAGATTTTCATGTTTTTCTTATTATTATTACTTGGTTTTGTGCAATAGTGTCTGCTGTAAATATTGTTCATATCTAGATCTTTTCTTTTTTCTACTTTTTTTTTTTCCCCACAAGTTTTAAGTGTCAGTGTGTCAAGAAAGTCAAGAAAGTTGAAAAGAAACCAAAACAAAAATACAGGAAGTAGTGGTGAGTTCTATATTTATGTCATCAACATCAAAAAGTCCATCCAAAATGTAGGGTAAAGAAACATTTTTTCTAACACTCTCATGCTTCATACAACAAAATAAAGATGTTGTAATTTATTTGTATTAGTCTAATCATAACTACTATGCAATTTAGACATGTTTTAGCCTTTTTTAATACTATGGGGTTTTTAACATTGTGGAATTATCTCTGCCAATGTCATACCAACCAACAAGTAAATCATATTATATTCAGCAAATTTAAAAAAAAGAAAAGTACTAGGTAAGATTTTTAGTAAAATGTTTAAAATTAGTAGTCTAACCTGTCAGAATATACACATTTTAAAGTACAAAACGACTCGGCACATGATTTAGCTACCACCTCCTCTTCTTATCAATTTGGCTTGTCATTCTCTTCCTGTGTGCCTAATACAGATAGACTCCACTCGAGCTATGACATAAACAAATACACAGTATGCATGCAGCTCCTCTCATCATGTCAACATTTTGGAGACGTTAAGCCTTCTTACGATTTATCGCCATTTTTGGGTTCACAGGCGAACAGTGCTCCAGCTTTTCCTCGCCCAATACCTTCTTTGCATTCTTAATCTGCACCTTCCCAGAGAGGCAAGGGACAAAGTGGTAGAACGAATACATTAAGTGAACATTTACAAATTCAAACAGTTCCTATATTTAACATCAGAAAAAAGGCTTCCCAGACAAGATCCTAATCTGGGCAGATTATAGGGCATATTACTAGAATCACATTTAATATCTAAATCGGTTTATTTGTAAAAAAAAATATGCAAGTGGCCAGCACTGTGTTGCTTAGTGGGATTGTAGGATTGTACTGCTTTTGTATGGATTTGAATACTGTAAGTATCCACATTTATAAAGTCAAATGCAGCAGACAAATGAGAAAGAGGATACATACAATATCCTTAAAGAAATGACACTGACTTTACTTCAGTGAGTGACACTGGCATAAAGGCTCTTTTGCTCCTGGTAGTCCCTAAAAGAAAAACTTCAGTTGGACATGGAGAGAATGGGCATGTCCAGGAGATCCGCACTATAACTGAATTAAACCACTTAAGCGAAAGCATTTAATTAGAACAGTGTAGTGTACAATCTCTAATGCCATAAGGAAACAAACAACTTTAAATTCGTCTTACAGTGAAACAGTGGAAGTATTCACATTCTAGTGGTTATGTACTTATTTGCCCTGTTAAACATACTAACAGCATGTTAGTGCAAGTTTACTGATTAAACATGAGGCGTAGCATACCTAAAATAAAGTCATTGTGACATCAGTGGACAATGTTTGTGCAGGCCTAAAACTGCCCGGGTATGTGCACTTAGCTTACCCATCAGAACTATGCAGCACTTTAGTTATTGGAAGTTTGAGCAGACAATATTCAAATAACAAAATCCTAATAATTTCAATGATGCATGGTATTTGTATACTGATGTAGGTTTGATGGAAACCTAACAGTTGAAATGTTTATTAAAAAGTCAAATATTTTGAAAATAATGTTGGAGAAGTATATGGGTCACAATTGTTAGCAGTTGAAGCTTAAAGGTAATATGTTATAGGCCATGTTATGAACTGTGTACTGTCTTGTTTTCAGCGCACTCTACAGTAGACCGATTTTCAATCACAGTAAGTGGGGCACCAGTCATAAAAACTGTCATTGTGTCCTTAGGCAAGGCACTTCACGCACATTGCCTAGTATGAAAATGGTGTGTGCATGAGTGACGGTGGTGGGTGATGGCGCAGATTTGGCGTGCTTCCGTCACTCTACCCCAGGACAGCTGTGTCTACAATAGTATCTTACCACCACAGGGTATGGAGTGAATTAATAATGATCAGTAAAAGCGTCTTTATGACATAATGCCTGTGAAAAGTGCTATATAAATAAATTTGAAAAAAAAAACTTCACTCACTCACTCTGTCACAAATACCCTCAGTGTGAGTATGACCAACTAGCCTACCCTGGAAGGGAAGATGTCAAAGGTGCACGTGTGAAATATGAAAGCTCCTGGTGGAAGGCCTGACACCAGCTTGTCTCTATGCAGATATGATTACCTTGCCTAGAACAGTAGTTCTCAAACTTCTCAGACCAGTACCAACTAAAAAAAAAAAAAAAAAAAAAAAAAAAAAAAAAAAAAGACTTTCCGAGTAGGCAGATCTAATTTAAAATTAGGGCTAATCCAGATATATAACACTATTACACCATTATTAGTAGTAGTTATAACCAGTGCCAAAGGATGACAAAAATGTAAATATAATTAGACAAACACTGAATGAAATTAGACAAACGCTGAATGAAGTGCAGAATGAGTCTGTGTACCTCCAGCGGTATCAGTATCACAGGAGAAACTGCAGACGATGCCACCGAGCCATTTCTAATAAAATATTTTACCTACCTGACAGTCAACACTGAGGGAAGAGTCTTGAATGAGCTACGCAATGACGTCAAACATTTGCGCCGATTTTTTTTTTTTTTTTTTTTTTTTTTTTTTTTTTTTTTTACCACGTGGGAAGATTTTTTTTTACGTCTTGGAGCATAACAACCGCAGAGAGCTTGGCGTGTCACAGGGACCATGAGAGAACTTTTACTGATTGTATTCAATACCGAAGTCCACGGAGCAGCCGCTAAGGTCTGACTCGTACAGCTCCGCTTTCTAGACCATGCCCCACGATCCCGATCCTCCTCCGGCCAAAAAATTCAAGCCGGGGTCTGTTCTTTTCAGTCTCAACCAGAAGAAGCCTGGAATGCTGCTGCCGAGAAAAGGAAATGCATCCACGCCTATAGATGTCCAAAGAAAACAGCTGCCAATTTACCAGGCTAAACCTCAGCTACTCAACCAACTGAGACAGCTCAACAATGCCATTCTGATTGGTAAGGCATTCGAGCTAGCTGCATAATAGCATCAGGGCAGCACTAAGCGAGGTAGCTCTAAACTCGATCAAATGTACATTTTACACTATCTGCGTTATTCTTGGTCGAAAATAGTGTACTCTTGCATTTTCATCTTTCATGATATTTTATTTCTTCTATTCTAAGGCCGTGTAATGTAAATTAAGTAGCCATAAAGGGTCACTCTTGGTCGAATTATATAATTCAGTTTAAACTACTCATTACTTACTGTGAGAGTAAGTTAAGCAAATGTGTGATGTTTTGGTTAACTTGCTGACAGTTTTGCCATATGCACAAATTGAAGTAAATGATTGTTGTGTACATAGGTATTTACTGATATTCTTTATTTTATTTTACACAGGTGAGACCGGTTCTGGAAAAACTACCCAGATTCCCCAGTACTTATACGAGGCTGGCATTGGGCGTCAGGGCATCATTGCCATCACTCAACCTCGGAGAGTTGCTGCCATTTCACTGGCGGGTAGGGTGGCGGAAGAGAAGAGGACTCAACTCGGCAAACTGGTAATAACATTAGTTTTTCTCAGCTGATCGCAGTTGTCCTCTTACTTTATCTTATGTCTCTTTTGTTGTTGTTATGTTCTTCAGGTTGGTTACACTGTCCGCTTCGAAGATGTTACATCATTTGAGACCAAGATAAAATTCATGACTGATGGCATGCTACTTCGTGAAGCCATTGGAGATCCCTTACTTCTGCGTTACACAATAGTGGTTTTGGATGAGGCTCATGAGCGCACAGTGCACACTGATGTATTATTTGGTGTTGTCAAGACTGCTCAGAGACGGCGCAAAGAGTTAAACAAGATCCCACTAAAGGTATACAGAGGACTGACTGAATATGTATTTGATTATAGCTCCATATTCATGAAACATGATGTATTTTTATATGTCTCAGGTCTTAGTAATGTCAGCTACAATGGATGTGGATTTATTTTCGGAATACTTTAACAAATCTCCTGTGCTGTACCTGGAAGGAAGACAACATCCCATTCAGATCTACTACACAAAACAACCCCAGTCAGACTATCTCCAGGCGGCACTGGTCACCATCTTCCAGATACATCAGGTAGCGCCACGTTATGTTCGAAACTTATTGGATACTTTACATTCTGTAAGGCAATGTATTTTCTCTCACAAAGTGTGAATTATGCAGAAGATGCAAAAAGTTTTAGTGTTACATACATTGAAGGATTTATTTTGCACATAATTGAATAAAGCTCTGTTATTTATTTGCAGGAAGCACCGCAGTCCCAAGACATTTTAGTTTTTATGACAGGCCAAGAAGAGATCGAGGCACTTGCAAGAACATGCAGAGACATTGCCAAGCACCTTCCTGACAGTTGTAGTCCTATGGTTGTTATCCCTCTTTATGCATCACTGCCTCCAGTGCAGCAGCTCCGAGTTTTCCAGCCTGCTCCCAAGGTGATGAGACACTTAACATCATCTGGTCCAATGAATACTGTTGGACAATGGAGTACAGAAAATTCTAGTTTCTTTTACATACTAACTGATGTAAAATATAAAATATAATTTGTGCTCTATTTTTAGGGAAGTAGGAAGGTTATTCTCTCAACAAACATTGCTGAGACATCTGTTACAATCTCTGGCATCAAATATGTTATAGACACTGGCATGGTGAAGGCAAAACGCTTCAATCCTGGTAAACCTATTTCTTTGTTTTTTAGTCCATCAAATTTTTGAAGCATGTATTGTAACATTTGTGTTGTGTTCTCAGAGAGTGGTCTGGAGGTGTTGGCTGTGCAGCGGGTTTCTAAAGCTCAGGCATGGCAGCGGGCAGGACGCGCTGGCAGAGAGGACTCTGGCTTCTGCTACCGTCTTTACACTGAGGATGAATTTGATAATCTCATCCCTATGACCGTGCCTGAGATACAAAGGTAGAATAGCACATTGTTTAGTGTGCATTTTTAAGTTTGAGATTTGATGTACCATATATTATACAATTTTAAATCATGTTTAGAAGTTTGATGTATACAAGTCACCGTATACATCAACACTTTGTTCATTCTCCTGCTGTGTGTTCTGCAGGTGCAACTTGGCCGGGGTAATGCTACAGCTAATGGCTTTGGGGATTCCAGATGTGATGAATTTTGATTTCATGTCTAAACCTTCTCCAGGTAAAATCTTGTGGTATAATGTATTATACTTTGACAAACCTAACTTACTTCAACAGAAGTAACTTTTTGAGTGTATGTGTGTTTTTTTTGTTTTTTGTTTTTTTTTCTGTGTAGAGGCTGTGTGTTCTGCAGTGGAGCACTTGGAGCTGTTGGGGGCAGTAGAGAAGAAGGATGGACAAGTTGTTCTCACTGCACTGGGGAAGAAAATGGCCAGCTTTCCTCTAGAGCCAAGATATGCAAAAGTAACTCACTTTTATGATGTGCACATCAATATCTTTTTGCCTTTGATCCAGTCTAATGGCTATTGTAGCATTTATTAAACTGCTAAGTTGCTACATTTAAATGTATTTACTGTTTGACATTAACATTAAATAAGACTACTTTTTTAAAAATTTATCATTGTATAATGTTTCTATTTTCAGACAATCCTCCTCTCTCCAGAGTTCTCCTGTTCAGAGGAGGTCATCAGTATTGTGTCTCTGCTGTCTGTGGACACTGTGCTGTACAACCCTCCTGCTCGTAGGGATGAGGTCCTGGCTGCTCGGAAGAAGTTCACCTCTAGTGAAGGAGATCACATGACTTTACTCAATATTTATAGGGCCTTCAAGAAAGTCAGTGGCAATAAGGTTTGTAAAATGTAAAAAATCTTGCACAAAAAGAAAAAAAAATCATGTACATGTGTTTATTGTTTATATGCGCCGTTTTAGGACTGGTGTCGGGAGAACTTTGTCAACAGCAGAAACATGAGTCTAGTAAAAGAAGTCCAAGCACAGCTCAAAGAAATATGCCTTAAGGTAAGCAAAATTGATTACATATTACTCATATTTTAAATTAAATTAAGATATTAATTTGTGTTTTGTTTGTAATTTGTAGCTAAATTTGAAGTTGGTGTCCTGTGGGGCAGACACAGGAAGTGTTCGCCGGTGTCTTGCACATGGCATGTTTGTAAACACAGCAGAGCTGCAGCCAGATGGGACCTATTTAGCACTGGACACCCATCAGCCTGTAGCTATTCACCCTTCTTCAGTCCTGTTCCAGGCAAAGCCAGCCTACGTGGTGTTCAATGAGCTGCTGCACACTTCTCGCTGCTACATGAGGGACCTGTGTTTGGTGGATGCTGATTGGCTTTTGGATGCAGCACCAGAATACTTTGGACGTAAACTCCATCTCTCTAAAAGTTAACCTCTAATAACACAAGGACACAGAGAAATGGAGGATGGATAAAGAGACACTGGTTTTCAATAAAACTATTATTAGAGCTGTCATTAATTGATTTTTTTCCCCTCAAAAAAAAAAAAAAAATTACTACCTCCAAGTGATTGGAATCTGGAATGTGTGACTGCAACAGTCCTCACAACTTAATATAGTGCTTTTATTCTCCCTTGTGTCATGTGACAGATTTTTTACTTCAAAGATTCTTCACACAGCCATGTGTAAAGCTGAAATATTTCAATAGTTTTTAGTGATTTTCATATGGAAGTGAAGAAATGTGAGTAAAGTGGCAAAAGACACTGGCCATCCAAAAAGGTTAAGTTGCATGCTGTATCCTACAACCAACAGTCTGATTGTGTACATTATGCACATGCCTCACACATCATTCTGTCTTCATGCTAGTCTGAAGACGTCGCTTGCCTTTTTCTGCAGATGATAGTCTTTGCTGTTTACATACTGTACATAACACAGATTATAGTTCTGCACTGAAGAAGCATTGGTGTATTCTTATGGATGCAATGCATGAATATTGTAGTTGATCTGATTAAGGTCTTTCACACTTTATGGAATGTACTCAGGATTGTATAATATGAGGTATAACACAGCATTTCTATTTTTCAAAATACCAAAAATTAAATTGTAGAGATTTTGTAGAATTACCAAATGTAATATGAATGTTCTTAAGAGATGTGTGGTTTGAGAATATATTGCATACATTTAATTTACTGGCAGGAAATCCTAAGATATGCATGAATTGTGCCAAACTGTGGCCCAATACTTTTATAGTGTAACATTTTGGGGCACATAACTAAGTTGTTGCAGTTTTAACAAATGCTACAAATGCAAACACATTGTAATATAATCACAACCATGAACTAATTAAATGCACTAAACACATGTTTTAGTCCTTGTTTTATTATATTATAAATTAATTATGAGCTAAGTTTACAGGATTATAAATACACATTAACTTGATGTTTGCCTCCCTTTAGGGGGATAACATGTTGGTCTATATGTGGTAAATCATTAAGATCAGCGACATGGTTCAAAGCTGACAGAGATGGGTTAATTTAGAATAGTTTAAGGACAGTGTTTAGGTAAAGGTTAGACAAGTAGAAATTATCGAGGATAGGATAATGCAATGTAATGTATCTGACAAACCACAGGGGGCGCAAGTTACCGACGAATGTGTTTTTCTTTTTACAAAATCCAAACTTTGTAAATATTATTTTTATGTATTATTATTTGTGGCATGAGTATAAGTATACATTTTGACATAGACACAAATAGAAAGTAATATTCAATATACATTTTTGGACATAGTACTTCCGGAGCAGGGGTCATAGTTACGATAGGTCAACGTGCCCTCCACACGTGTGCTTGCTATAATACTGAAGTAGTGAAGGGGGAATAGGGTTCTAGAGATTTCTGTTTGTATTTATTTTGTTTTTAGAGTTAGCTATTTTGTACAGCCATGCTTAAATCTGTTGTCCGTGCGGTTGGAGCTTCTGTCCGCCTTTCTAACGCTAGCACTTCCACAGTACGAGCTGCGCCTCTCCGCTACCCGGTGTTGTGTGCCCCCAACTCGGCTACAGCTCGGCCCTTTACCCGGTCCATGTGGATGCTCAGTAACAGCGGCGCTTCCTCTGGTTATAGGCCGAAACTGTTTAGCTCAAAAATACTGACTCCTTCAGTTTCGTGTGGATGTGGAGGACTGCACACAGAAGGTAAATATAATGCTCAAACTTCGCTAGCACAGCATGTATCCTTGTGTCTATGGTATACGGCAATGTTGCGTGAGTCACTGTATCCGCGTGTTTGTAAAGATGTTTTCGACTACTATTTGTTCGTTTTATTTTGAAGTTAGGCGTTGTTTTATTTCCCCTTTTTTTGTATTTTTTGTCCATTTGGAACTTCTTTTAACAAGACCAAAGTAGCCTCCATACTTGCTTGTTGATCATTTCACCTTGAGATGTCCCTTTTTAGCCCCCCAAATTTTCATAAAAAGTTAGATTTGTATAGCACAATGTACATACAAATATTGAATAAAACATATAATGGGTAACAATAAAAGCAAGTAGGCTACAAATGAACTATAAGTCAGTTAATATCAAAAACCCATTAATGGTCATTTCAGTAATGTATATTTTCTTTTTCTGATCAGGAGACAAAGCTCTTGGTGACTTCCTTACTGATGAAATCAAAGAGGAGAAGAAGATCCAAAAGTCTAAGTCCCTTCCAAAGATGTCTGGAGGATGGGAGCTGGAGATGAACGGCACAGAAGCTAAACTCATCCGATTTGTTTCTGGGGACAAGTAAGACTGAGAAAAAACATTCAATAACATTCTGACTCTGCATGTTATTAACTAATGTGTGTTTTCCAGAGTTACAGTCACATTCAATGTCAATAACAGCATCCCCCCAAACTTTGGAGAAGAAGCAGAACAGGGCCAGCAGAAACCAGCTGAAGAAGAGGTCAAAACGCTGACATTATTAATTATTTGAAATTGGATCTAATGTCTCTATGTCATTTAACAATTTACTTTTTTATATTTTAGCCAGAAATTGTTTCAACGCCAAACTTTGTTGTTGAAGTTACCAAACAGGGTGCCAAACACTCACTGGTGTTTGACTGCAATTTCCCAGAAGATGAGGTTAATAAAACAAATGAATCTTTTAAAAAAACATTGTAAAGCATACTTGTCTTTGTAGTTTGTTTATTCTGTTATTCTGCTGAATTCATTATCATTATTATTATTATTTTTCCAGATAAGTCATGGTGAGGGAGAAGAGGAGAGTGATATATTTGCCATTCGTGAGGTCAGTTTTCAGCCTGAAGGGGACGAAGACTGGAAGGAAACCAGTTACACACTTAACACAGACTCTCTGGACTGGGTACGTCTCGTTTTGTATTACCTTAAACCTTAGACTGCAGTTTTTTCCTGATAGGTTCCTAAAATGTATTATTTTGTATCAGCTGTACCTCTTTTTAAATGCACCATTCGTTTTTAGGCTCTTTATGACCACCTAATGGACTTCCTTGCTGACCGCGGAGTTGACAACACATTTGCAGATGAACTGATGGAGCTGAGCACCGCCATTGAGCACCAAGAGTACATCAAGTTTCTAGAGGATCTACAGAGCTTTGTTAAATGCAACTAATGTATTAAAAGTGTAAAGCCAAATTTTGTTTTCAACCTGGCTAGTTAATGTCCAAAGTTGCACTGTAAAATAGCTGCAGCACTTAATACACAGGCTGAATACTGAATTTGTCAGTACTTCAGATTGACCATGTTAAATAAGGTAGGATACAAAAGGATTTATTTATAGAAAAAATATTACGGTTATGTTCAAATGTTGCACATAATGTAAACCTGTTTCAGTGATGTCTTAAACATGGCTGTAAACCACCAATATTCTTGTGGATCAGTGCAGAATACATAGCCCCCAACATTGACAAAAGTGTCATTACAACATATCATTACTAGGGTAAGTGGATCAAGATGTGTAATTTACAGTTAATGTATTGTACAATAAAACTTAAATATTTGTTAATTGAATGACTCATTCCTTACCGTAAAATTAAAGTCTGGAAATGTCAATGATTTATATTTCTGAAACGTATGGACTATTAATTTTCTGTTACAGTATTTGTTTGTGCTTATTTTATTTTTTATGTTCAAGCACTGCTATCATTGAACGGTTTCTCTTCACATCCTATTAATTATTACCACCCTCAGTGCTTTCGTAAGGACTTTAGCTCCCAGGGAAGTTGACATAGGTCTAGATCAGAGTCTGCTCTTGCACAACAGTCGCATCACTGCAGCCTGTTTCTTCTGTAATCTTCTATTTTGGATAGTACCTTTTCAATGTAAAGAAACGAACTGCAATACAAGACAATGGCGAGTAAGTGTAAAGTTGCTCCCCTTGACTCCTCCGATTCAGATTCGGAGGAGCGGGACAGAGGAGCAGTTCGGGGAGTGTGGACCGGGCCTTCCACCGCGTGTTGGCCCGGCTCACAGGTCATCCACAGCGGCCACTTCATGGTCTCTTCGCCGCACAGTGACTCGGCTGTGAGCAGACGGAGGAGCACGGAGAGTTACGACTTCGATACGGTCAAAGGGAGATGGTGCCAGACGTACCACTACGGGCCCCTGAGCTCCGCTAGTCTCAGCATTGATCCCACTCTCACGCGACTTTTCGAGTGCATGTCTTTGGCCTACAGGTGAGTCCTCGTTACGTTATTTTTAACCATTTATACAGATCTAATATATAGTTATGAAAAAAAAAACTACTAAAAATGTTAATGAACTTAAATTTGCACTATGTAACCTCTAAGGTGGAGAGTCCTCTACTTGGTTGTCTCTATTTAGTTGTTATTGCTTTGCTTGTAATGTTCAACAGAAGAGCATTAATCATGTCTTCCTTGCATTTGTTCAATTACAGCTGTTTTATAGCTGAAAAATACTTTAAAAACATGATTTTTTCATGTGGAAGCTTCTCAATACATCTGACCATTAACCTGTCTCCATTGTGATTACCAAGTTTATTTCAGTCCACAATGCTGTGAAATAATCAAAGCAAAATAGTAATATCTCCATAGAGTCAAGCAGGTGGCAGATACTCCACCAGAAAAGTTACACAGTGCATCTACTAGTTATTATTACAAATTATGCAATGATGTCCCAATTACAAGTTATTTAAATTTTCACAATGTAACTTTCACTTGCTCCATGAAGAATGTTATTGCTTTTCCTGGAATGTTCTGTAATATGGCATTAACTTGTTTCCATGGAGAAAAGCAGGAGGTGACACAAGACCAGGCAATCCCACTCAGTAAGAATGTATAAATGTTTTGTAGCAATAACACCTGAAACTGAATAAATACAAGATGTGATTAATGCCATACTGTGGAACATTCCAACCAAACCAAAGCATTAACATCTAAATGGTAAGTAGTAAGTGGTGGACCCCTCACCAGAAAAGTTACAAAATGCACCTTTAAGTGTAACATTTATTGTTAATAAGTTTAGGCTTTAGTCTCGTGCTCAGAAACTGGACACATTTGCGATAGGACAAAAAGTTTGATTTTATTATGAAGATGCTGCTGTCATTGCCTCTGCCAACAAATCAACCATATTAGGCTGTTACCTTTATTAAGGACAGCATACTTTATGAAATCCCAAATTTCATAAAGTGACTATTGGCTAATGTCTGTTAGTTTGTCCTTGCAATCTGACAGACCTCACAATGTTCCTCTTATTTTTAGTCCTCCTAATGTTATAACCACTTTGCCTAAAACCACCATTGGACTCATACAGCCTGTCATGCAACAAGGTAATTCAGTAGTGCAAAACACCTCACAAGTCTTGCCCTCTGGTTTCAAATACATTTCAGTGATAAAATGTGTGATCGTGACATATGCAAGATCCCTTATAATAAACCATTACATCTGATTTGATTCATCTGATTTCACTCTGATTGTTCAGACCTGTGCAAGTTTTGACAAAGGAAATTATGCAAAAAAGTGAAACTAGTGTGGCAAAGACAAAAATGAAAAAGAGTTATTTTAAAGTACTTTGTACTTTGGCTTCCAAATAAAACTACAACAACTGGCTAACCTCCTCATGTGTTTTTGATGAGCAGATTTCTTTTGTGCACATAAACACCACAAATCGTTTACTGGCTATCCACTGACCACTGGATGGGGTCTGTTCAAGAAGACTAGAGCTAAAGTTGCCAATATGATACATACCTTGGTTCAGAAGCCACAATATGATACATATCTAGATACAGTGCACTTTCTATTCGATGCAATATATTTCAAATCAATTTGATACAGTTCAATAAAAAATAAAGGCTAAATCCTGACTGTAATTCTAAAAGTCTTTGTTAAACCACTTTCTTTGCATAGTTCATATGAAACAGTCATTTGAATCATCAAAACAGTAAAATATCAAATGTGTTGCATAAACGAGTTTCCTTCCAATAAACAAGCAACTAAACTATAGCGCTGTAACAAAATAATTTAGTAAAAACAAATATACCAAAAATACTCTTGGCTATATTTCGATAGAGCAGCCCACGGTATCGATACTGTATCACCACATTAAACAATAAATTGATATTTTTGCACACCCCTAAACAAGACAATCCTTAGCTCTACACTTCTTGATGTCTGACGCCTGTTCCATCTTTACAGTTTCTTCACACCATTAACTAAATTTATGTTAGTTAAGTGAAGCTAATGTTTTTCCCCCTAAATGGACCATGTAGCCATTTGGAAAGCCCAAGGCATGCACAAACGTTCCGCTGTTAAAAGCATGTTCAAAAACACCCTCCTGGCTCCATAGCAACTCCCTGAGCATCTCACATTAGGAAGCTTTTCTCACCACTCACTCAGGCTGAAGGACGCCAACCGAGTGCAAACAGCTGCACTCAGATGAATTAGCCGCAACGATGGGTTAGCATTAGTCAAAGATGAAACTAGTGCCCTTTCAGACGTCTACAGGTTTGAGCTTAAAGGTCCTATATTACTTGAAATTGATTCCTGTGAGCTTTAAGCCATATTAGAATGTTGCTACCTATACAAAAACATACATGGAATTGTGTTTTTATTTCATTCACACATGTCTGAGTTATTCTGCATTATTAGTCTGTCTACATTTCCAAATGCTCTGTTCCATCTTGTGATGTCATGTAGCGATAGTTTTCAAGTTAACAGCTATTGCCTTTAGTTGAGTAGAGATTGACAATTCCAGTGCTGAAATTATTGAAATGAAATTAATTTGTATGGAGTTTAAAAACACAATGGAGAGCTTCCTGTATTAGCCCATGACATCACAAGTTGGAACAGAGTGTTTTCTATTTTGAGGGAAGAACTCAGCCTAAATGTGCAGGATTTGTGTGTGAATTAAGCAAAACACATGTCATGTTTTTGATGAGGAAACAACATTATAACATAGATCAGAAAATGGCAAATTATGGGCTCTTTAAAGCTCCACTATTGCTGAAGCTTTTTTGACAAAAAAGACTCATTGCATTGACGAATTGAATGCAAGCGTTATCCCAAAGAAACTATGACACAACATTATGTAATTTTTCTGGTGAAGGGTAGGCCACCTGCTTGTGTCCTTAGAGATGCTTTGCCTGGAATATTGAGTATGGCATTAAAATCATTTATGCCCAAGGAGACGAGCAGATAACAGCATCAGGCAAAGTTATTTGGCAGATCTGTGGTGAGACACAGAATGCATGTTTAACGTTTTTTTTTTTTGCAAGAAAAATACCTAAATAAATGCTCAATAGGTAGATGGGTTCAACTCCAGACAAAGCAATAATACAACCAAAGAGACAAGCAAGAAGAGAATTACCTTACCAGAAAAGTTCCATATTACACCTTTACAGGCTTTGATAATAAACATATGCACTGATTTACAGAACTGAGATCATTATCATTGGCACTTATAAAACATTTTAACTGATGACATACATTTGTTTTCAGTGGGAAGATAGTGTCTCCAAAATGGAAGTCTTTTAAAGGGTTACGGTTGCTGTGGAGGGACAAGATTCGACTGAACAATGCAATTTGGCGAGCCTGGTTTATTCAGTGTGAGTTTAAATAACAGACATCACTACTCTTGAGGTCTTAAAGGTTTGTCTTGTTTAGTTTAACCTTATGTCCACTATGTTTTACACCTATAACTATTTATATCACATATTCTTTTTCTATTAGAAAGTCATCTGAATTTACTCAGTTTCTTCATCTGTTATAATAGATGTGGAGAAAAGGAAGAACCCAGTGTGTGGCTTTGTCAGTCCATTGGAGGGATCAGAGGCAGACGCACATCGAAAACCTGAAGTGAGTTAACGGCAACTACAAAATCTGATTATTACCTTTTTTTAATTAATTAATTAATTTATTTATTTTTTTATAAGGCTATGAAAATTAAATGTAAACAACTAAATAATCTGATTTAGCAATATTACATTACATTCAGGGATGCACTGGTCTGATACTAGTATTGGATATCAGAACTGATATAGAAAAATACCATTATATGCCAAATATTGGTTTAGCTGATATTCTGGTTAGACATATAAATTAATGTAATACGACTAGTTTGCTGGTTGCAAGTATTCTTCTTTGGGGAGATACAGATTCCTACCTTCATGGCAGCCTGATGGTTAGAGAGGGGAGAGAGTTCAGCATCCTAACAGCCTGGTGGATGAAGCTGTTAGTGAGTCTGGTGGTACAGGAACCGAAAGCTCCTGTACCTTGTCCCGGAGAGCAGGAGGCTGAACAGATTGTAGTATAAATAACAGCTACAAAACACATTTGGATCAGTTTTGTCTTATTTTATTTTTGTTTTAAACTGCTATATCGGACATTGGCAGATAATTAAAGCTATAGTATCAGAATCAGTATTGAACTGAAGCTGGATCTGTGCATCTCTAATCACATTACATGCATGTAAAAAGGTCCAGAAATAAGAATATGATCAGATTTTGATGTGCATTTCAACATACCCAGTGACTAACAAACTTTATAATAGGCAATCATCCTGGAAGGCAGCTACTGGAAGAGGCGAATCGAGGTGGTGATTAAAGAGTACCACAAGTGGAGGATTTATTATAAGAAGAGGGTGAGTATTTACAGTGGGGATGGGAAAGGATCTGGAGCCACAAGATCTCATTAGACAAAATGACCACAATGGAAAAATCATCTTGTGAGATTTTTTTCCATATATTTACATTTGGATTGGACAAAAAAATGATTCAGTGCTGGCGAGTTTGATTTCTTGAGAAGCTGTTCCAAAATGCAGTGCTATAATGACAACAAAAGTAAAAAAGGTGCACTATGTAATTTCTAAGGTAGAGGGTGTGCAACTTGCTTGTTTCCATGGAGATGTTATTTCTTGCCTTGTATGTTCCACAGTAGGACATTAAAAATATTCACTCTTACTTTTGTTTTATAGTTCAGAAATACATTTAAAAACATAAATTCTTAGCATGTGCGGGCTTGCTTCTCCATAGAACAGACCTGTCTCCACTGTGATTACCAAGTTTATTTCAACTTTTACTGTGGAATAATCAAGGCAAAACAGTAATATCCACATGGAGACAGGCAGGTGGCGGACCCTCCACCAGAAAAGTTACACAGTGCACCTTTAAATAAATAACATTTACAAATGTGAGGCTAAAATTGTGGATTACACAATTTATTTATCACAAATTATTTCAAAATCCCAACTTTTCTTGTTCTCATGGACCTAATCTTGTGTCTCATTTCGTCCTGTGAGAACTGTCCATGTGATTAAAGTGTACACATTTTTATCTTTATCTTTGCAGCTCCAGAAGACGAAAAATGATATCCTCTCAATGTTTCAAGAGGTATGATGCTTAAAATACTATACAGAAAATAAATGCTAATTTAGGTCATCGTGTTGTTCCCTGACCCCATAGCATTATTTACTTTGGTGTTACAAACTCAAGCTGATTGGCAAAGTCATCAAAAGGGGTATTTTTAGCCCAAGGTTCGATGTCCCCATTCAATAAAATAAAGAACAACCAACAAAACAACTTGCGTCATAGTGTAAAATGTGTAGGCCACTGACACATATTGATCGCACAGCAGTGACAATGCTTGTAATGTCCCTTTAGGCTATACAGCACATGTGTATTCATGTTTAGTGGATTCAAAAGTTAATGTTTTTTAATCAAATGTGACCTACTTCCCTGCGGCGCTTTGTGAAGTGGAGGAGCAGTGAGTGTCGCCATGACGTCAGGGAGGGAGAGAGAGAGTTTGGGGAAGCACCTCATTCATGTGGAGGGATAGACCGCTGTTAAAATGAACAGTTCCCTTCAAATTACAGTTTTTGTTTTTATCTGCATAATGTAAATCGCCGCAGTGGGTTTTCCTGAACACAGTTTGCAATTAAGGCTTTACAGGTGCACTATGTGACTTTTTGGTTGGGGTCCATCACCTGCTTGTTTCTATATGTCATAGCTCTGCCTAGGATTTTCCACAGTATGACATTAAACAGCTCTACCTTACATTTACAAGTTGGTTTACAAGTGGTTTTATAGCTCAAAAATACCTAGAAAAACAGGCATTCTGACTGTGAGTGGGGTAGCCTCTTCGCAGAATTGACCTGTAATTTGGTCGGGTTTGGGCGCCATGAAGATAGAAAGGTTTAATATCATACTGTGAAACATTCCAAACAAAGCAATAACATCTTTATGGAGAAAAGCATTTGGCAGACCTACTATTTAAATGTGTTTGTTAAATATTGTTTGTTGTTGCTGTAGCACAAACTGAAATTTTTACAAGACAGGTCAAAGATCACACTGTCTAGTTAATATGTTTGTAAAGGGGCAAAACTTTATCTTACTTTTGATCAAATCTAGTAACCTCATCTACTCATAAAGCATCAATAAAAGAATTTAATTCTTTAATCTCCAAGGGTT